TTCAGTAAGTCAAACGATTAAAATAGTATTTTTTAAAACTAATACGTTCACATTACTTTTGTATAAAATAAAATTTGACTCATCTGAGTCAAACCAAAAATCTCTATACAAAAGACATCAACGCGTGAATCTCGTATGTACTGATTAAGCACAGAACCAATATATAATTTTTGGTATTAGTAATCCAATTTCTATAAATATTTTCATTTCTAATAGCTTTTGAACAAGACTCAGAAAACAAGGCTAAATTAACATCATATTTCAGAACAGATCAGAAGTAGGACCTCTTTAGAAAAAAAACTAAAACAATGTTTGTACTTTAAATAAATGAATTGTAAATGCATTATTTTGATATAATACCTAATAATATGTTATCACCAAATACCACCAAATTATGAATTAAAACATCCAGTTGCAACAAACCAACAGAAACTGAAGAGTGAACGTGATTAATTTCATTCAATGTTATTCAAAATAATTGATCATTAGAAACATAATATATTCTGTCAATAAAATATTATAAACGTAAAAGTGTTTGTTCGTCTGTCTTTCTTAATGAAGAGATTCAATGATAGGTATATGACGGTTTTTGGAAACTGACACACGCTATATAGTATATAATAGAATCAGATGTTACTTTGCGGAAATCCATGCTTCACTAACAACTGAACTAAAAAACTAAATATTTTCCATATAATAACCGTTTAGTATTGGAAAATAAAACTACTTTGCGACTGTTAATATATACAACTTAAAATATAAAAAATAATTTAAAACTAAAATATTTACAACTTAAAAAAAAATCCCAGTTGGTAGTGATACAGGCTACTTTTAGCCGTTAATTAACAATGTGAGCAAAGCCTCATGCAAATAACTAGTTTATTATTATAACCTATATCCTACATTGATGATCTAACACAATTAGGTGCCTATAATCATCTGATGACGTGATTTATTAAAATAAAACGTCTACAAATAATTATGAGATCCAAGGTCGTAGCTGTATTGTATTAGTACTATTCAACTAAAGAATTTCTTAAGGGCAAAGATTACAAGAACATTGTTGTGGAATAGAGCATAATATTTATTAGTAGATAATAAGTCTGATATTTGTACACCGATTCAGTAGAATGTATGAGACTTAATTAACATAAAACACCTATTGTAACTACATTCTAACTAATATTTTTTCATTCTTTCTTTCTTAGTCACTCTATTCATTGTCTTTATTTAACAAGTACTGAGAATTCCAAAATACATATAATAATTCTATACCCGACTAGGGGGCTCGACGTGCAGGAGAAGGAACGGGGTGGTTTTTAGTCAGTAAGAGTCTGACACTCCCTTCCGCCTCACCCAGGCGGGAGCAGTCATTCGATGATTTTCCCCCCGTAAAAAAAAAAAAATACCCGACTAGGGACCGAACTTAAAAAGCATCGCGGCATCGATACGATCATAAATCTTACAAATAGCTAAATTCGTCACTGAATGTTACCTGTGTGTGCAGGTAACGTTTTTTGTGACATATTTGCAAACAAGATGGCTACCCATATTGTTGTGTTGTTAAATGTATCTCCTTATGTGTTCTTAACTTTGTTTACATCACATCAATAGATATTTTAGGGGTGGTATTTAATTCTTTAACTGTAAATTCCCTTTTTTCAATCAAAATATTCGAAATTAAGTACCACCAAAAATACTGAATTGCACACTAAATTTGCTCATCAAATAAATTAATTATTCTATACTGTTAGATCTTTAAAGCTTAATTGTTTTACTGAATGACCATCTTTTAACTAAAAGTAATAGTATTTAAGACTATCTGTGTCTCGTTAATCGAGAAGTTTGTAGTGAAACTGCTGAGGGAAGGAGGAAATACGTATCGCCCTTTAAAGAATGCGTATCCTGCTCATTCTTCACATATTTTGAGTTTTATTCTGTACTCAATAGGGTTCAACTCTACTCAAACAAATAGTATATAGGTAGGTACTTGAAAACCTAATGCCCGTAATATTTTTATAATAACTATCGTAAGACTTACTGAATTAACTAAAAATTGCGAGTTAATTTCATTACTCAGAAAAGCCCTACTAGGCTGCGCTACTGCTCGTGAATCGAATCGATATTCGATATTTACGTGTGTAACTCAATAATGTTTAGTTAAGCCCGTACTATTGTGGAACAGAGATAGATAATTTTATATTGAGCAAAGAGTACATGGTTCTATACAAGACATTCTATACAAGCCCTAACTACCAAACATGATGATATGGAAATTAATCCTTCATTCAGTCAATATAAAAATTATTATCCACCGTCTTCCATCCCCTTATCACCTACCCAGCCTCTCAAACCAAACTCGCATAGTTCAATAAACTACAGTTGCGTTGCGTTAGCGACAAGTCGCAACTGGTTTGACAAGTGACGACTAATCGGTGTTACGGCATGAGACGTTGCGACACACGACCGAGTCGCGACTACCGCACGACCGATCTTCACGGGTGAATGCAATGGGGTGCGGCAGATTCATTCATGAAAGTAATTATTCGATACACCAGCTGTAGTTGTAAGTTGCGTCATCCATTAGTCAAAGTATAATATTTCAATTTAAGACCTAATTCAAAAAGGAAGGAGTTTTACAATTTGACCTGTTTGTATGTATGCGTTTGATTATGGCTTATTCTCGTGATTGGCTGAACCGATTTAGATAGTTTTCAGAAAAGTATTTCTTACGTTACACTTATGAGCAAATTTTAGTATGTTTCAACCAACTGTACGAAACGAAACGAAAATTTTAACAGATTAAAGTATCTGATGTTAACTTCTGTGTATAGGTAGTTTAGTTTTGGAAAATTACACAAGAAATGATATTGCAATGTAACCTATGTATCCGTTTCCAAATATCGCGTGACGTTCCGACCTTTGACTTCAATTATTTCACACATCAATTGTGCAACAAACCATACAAACTCGGTGTATGATTGTGTGTATATCAACCACACAAATCATGAATCAGTTTTGCTAATTTTATCTTAGAACTAAACACATACTGGTGATTATAAGGTTATTTAAAGAGGTACACTACTACTTACCCCATCGGGGATTATTATGAATGTGATGTTATTGCACATTGCACTTTGAACTAATTATCTTTTTTTTTAAGGGGAGAAATCATTGAATGACTGCTCCCGCCTGGGTGATGCGGGAGGGAGTGTCAGACTCTTACTGACTAAAAACCACCCCGTTCCTTCTCCTGCACGTCGAGCCGGAGCCCCGGTTACCCGTTAGGTTGTCCGCGACGAACTAATTTAACTTGGAACCTTTATCACCTTTATAAAGAGGTTAGTAAGGAGGTTGGAGTGACTGTGATAAAGGTCACTTGTATTTCCTTTTGACAACGCGAGCGAAGACTGGGGTAACAACTGGTATTGAATAAAAACGTAACATTTGTCTGTTTGTTGCTCTTGACCGCTGAATGACGTAAAATCATTGAAAAACCGATGATGCAGCGATGGAGCGATGCAGCTAATGTTACAAAATATTTCATTAATACCGGTATCTTAATATTAATATGTGAATACTCGATTATGTCAAGTTTAAAACTACGTTATTGTGTGAATGTGATTCAGTTTTAATGTGGTTTTATTTTATGTTCCTTTTTAACATGTTTTTGCTACCAAAATTATTTGAAATAAAGTTCAGATATTTTTTAGTGACGTAGAACTATAAAATTGTTAGTATTATGTGTTGAAAGCATATGCCAAAAACATTTCAATTGCTGAGAATCATACCTATTGTAAAAAAGTAAAATACTTTATACAAAAACTAACTAAATTAACTAAAAATCCGTGGGGCCAGTAGACTGCGCGACATCGCCGCGACCGCGCACGCTGTTCATGAGGAGGAGCCCTTCTGTAGCTCGAAACTAGTAGAACTTTTCTCAGTATTTTCACGTGAGTAACCCGCGATTTTTAGTTCATTTAGTATGTCTCACGATAGTTATTATAAAAACAAAAACTAACTACACAGGAATTGAACCCAAGACCACTCGTACAGAAGTAACAATTCGCAATCCGAATGTCCAATCCCTATAATCAGAGAACTGAACTAAGTACCAAGAGGTTTCTTATACGACATACGACCACTAAGCTCCTAACACTCCCCGATCAATTTTCGAAAAATGTATGCAACCATTATTTTTTATAGGAAGCAATGATTATGGGTACTTTAGTTTTAAAGTCTACAAGCAAACGTCAATAAAAAGTTAGCTGTTTGTATAAATTACGGCTATCGAAGGTTATTTCAATGACACCTTGACTTATACTACCTATTTAATGACTTAAGAATTCTCAATCAAATCTAACCTGGCGTTTATAGTGGAGTCTTAAAATATTCAGTGTTTACTATCCAGTAATACTGTTTGATTTCGTAAAAGATGGTCTGTTTAATTAGTTTTAATAACGAGTTTGGTATGTATAAATAAAATATCATTCACTATGCATTCTTTAAATCAGCCATAAATATTCAAGTGTACAAGAATTCGCAACCAAACCATTTTGCAAGGCACCGCTCTTGACACGATAATTATATACTCACACAGTAACAGCACATACATATATTGAGGTAGTATATATATAATATATGGTGGTGACGTAACGCGACCCTTTGTTACCAACCCACTTAATTATATGGAGAAAGCCGCAGACTCCGTTTATTATCTTGACCCTACCACTTATATGAATATCTCAGAGCAGGTTTACCCATAAGAATGGTAGAGAAGATGCCGGAAATTGTACTTAACAGCTGGGTTCGGATCCCGGCTGCAGCTCGTACCGGTTGCCGCGGAATGCGGACTTTTATGTACCTTCCTTGCCTCGCTCGGATTAACACCCTTTAAATAGAGGCTATGGTATATGTCTTCCGTTCTGTGGATTTACACTTCTGGGGTAAAAAACTGTTTAGAAGGTACAAATACATATAATATGTAAATAGCTACATACCTCGGGTGGAGCTGCAAACTTCAGGTTGGCGAGAGAGCCGTGCGACCTGCTGCGGTGCTCCTGTCGGATGCTGTATGAGAAGGCGCGCTCGTTCAGGTGCCCCTTTTTCCTGTAAATGCCGCCAGCGTCCTCCACTGCCTCCAGCCCTGTCATACTCTGCGCGGCCTTCATGGCAGTTGGTGGAGGAGGCTTCGAACGCCTCGGATCTACTGTGGCGTACTGTAGTCGCCCCCTACCGGGACCTGGCGGACCCGGGGGACCTGGAGGGAATGGCCCGGCGGCCAGTGCTGCCGGTACTCGCCCCCGGTGTCCCAACGTGGCGGGCCGCGCATGTGGCAGTGTGGCGGCTGGGTGTGCCACCAGCACCATGGGGTGCGCGGCGGCCCAGGCGGGCGGCGCACGCCCCAGGGACCGACCGTTCATCATGGGCGCGGGGCCCGCATACAGTTCGTCTGCTGACGCTGAAGATTTCTTTTTCGTCTTTTTCGCAGTAGCAGTCTTCTTTTTGGGCTCTTCAGGAGGCGGTGGTGGTGGCGGGACCGACGCTGGTCGTGTTATCTGCCGCGGACGAGGCGCGCGCGCAGGGTGAGGGATATCGTCACTGGCGTCGTCGCGCTCTGTCTCTCCGACCCACACCTTGTGATTCTCATCTCCGTCATACACTTCCAGTTCCTCATCCTGGTCAGCTGGTAGGTGTGAGGGAGCGCGCTCAGCCTCCAGTCGCTTAGCGTATGAGCTATCAGCGTATGCATGGAAGCAACAGCGCACCAGTGCGTTGGCGGCTGCCTCGCGTCGACAGATGAACGCGTGGCACTCCAGCACCTTAATACCCTGTGTGCGACGCAGCACGGCAGCGAACAGGGGCGGGCGACGCGGAGCTGGGGCCCGGGCGAACGGGGAGTCCAGGGGCAGGAACCGAGGCGCACCCTCTACGGTGACCCTGCGCACTGCGGCGCAGTAGTGCAGGCTCGATATCGGGAAGAAGCGCGCCACTCTCGAGCCGCTCTCGTCAATGTTCTCGAGTAGGATTCCATTCGACCACACGGACAGCCACGAGTCGATGCCGCCGCTCGTCGCTCCCTTTTCCGGATACAACTCGCGCAGCGGTTCCTGGATGCCTTGCAGTCCATCCTTGCTCTGCTGCGGCACCGCGGAGCCGAGGTAGAGCACACGGCACCGACATATCGGCGTCGACTCCATTTCGTCACTGCACTATCACAACATGACACTGAATCACTTGGAAACACAAATATGTCGCGGAGCGGTCGGACGCGGAGGTGTACGTGCTAGCCGCGAGTCGCGCGCGGGTCTGAGTGAACGGAATTCAAGATGGCGGGCGCGGGGGCGCGGGCGGGGGCGCGGCCAGTCTCGCGGTGTGTGGGGGGTATACCTGCGCGCACGCACCTGCGAAGACGGCTCCGCGGACGGGTACTGTAAGTATACATGAGTGCCGATGAACCGGCATTGTGTCAAACGAATCGTCGCGAATTTGGCCGCGTTTCTCTCCACGTCATCACTCGACGACGTGACGGAATGCCAGGCTGTGCTCCTGTTGCAGTGAAATCTGAAGGTCGAGTGATATTTAGATATTTCCCAGCGGATACAGCGCCCGTCCGTTTGTTGTGAATAACAAACAAGTTGCAGTTTCCACTGCGCCTGCGCAGTAATTGGGTCATTGTTTCGTTTGTTTGTCTTCGCTCTTATAATAGAAATAGGTATTTGACGTGTGAATAGGTTCGTATACTGGTACCCACGAATGGTACCTACACATGTAGGCAATATGTATGTAGGTACATAGATTGCAAGTTGTTAGAAGAATGCTGCCATCATCGTAACTTAACAATTAATGAAGAATACACATTGTTATTTAAAATTCTTTAATTTGCTTACTAAAACGGATTTGTTATCTGATTCACAAATAAGTAAGTCTTTAAAATATTTGGTATTACCTACCTATTATAACATTTTACGTAAATAGGAGCGTAGGATAGATTTAGGCAGGTAGGACAAACAAAAGTCGACAACTACCCTCCAGTCATGCACCTTTAATATGTTACAAATACATTTTTTGACCTCGCTATAAGTTCTTGTTTGTCTCTTTATGAAGCACACCAGTGTTTTTAATATAATAGATTAAAAGAGGATTTGATAAGGGGTGGCGGGTGGCGTCTGGTGGTGAATACAAACAACGTTACAACTTGCATTGCTGGACTGACCGACAGATTGACACTTTATTTTGTTTGACGTTAAAAAGTACCTTTTATTGGTCTAACCCCCGTGCTCAGAGCCATTTAATGGCAACTTAACCCAGTCCTTGTCACGGAGAATTTAACGGGTAACCGGGGCTCCGGCTCGACGTGCAGGAGAAGGAACGGGGTGGTTTTTAGTCAGTAGGAGTCTGACACTCCCTCCAGCCTCACCCAGGCGGGAGCAGATTTTCCCCCCTTAAAAAAACCCCCAGTCCTTAGCATTGTATTCGGAACAAAATCGTTACTAAGGAATAGTTACTGTTTAAGTACAGTAGAAGCTCGATTAACCGGACTAATTGTTGTCTTTAGTCGTCCGGATAATCGAAAATCGAATATATGAAGAAAAGCGAGTTTTTTGCATTATGCACATATACAACATGTAACGTAATTAACGCACACCCTCAAACACCCCAATTAGAATATTATGTTATAATCATAATACATACACTAAATTTTTAATTTAACATGTATATGCATCCTTACTGGTCCTGTCATAAGGTTTATTTTTCTTTATTTTGTATTGAATGATAGAATTTGTATGAATACAAATAAAACTGCGATTTTAAAAGTCTTATTGCTTTGACTTACGGTCCATTTCGATTTGTTTTAACAATACAGGGTTAATATGACAATAATTTCCGTAATTTTAATTATTTTTGGAATAAAAAATTACCTATACTAAAAATTATATAAATCGATTCAGTTAACGATTCTGAACAAACTATTTTCAGGATGTGCGTTGTTTAAGTTATATGTTGTATATGTAGGTATGTACTACGTGTTTATGAAAAGCAACAAATACATTTCAAATAAAAACAACATTTATTAAGAAATGGTACATGATGTACGTACAATTCGTTTACTCACAATAATTTTTGGTAATTTGCATTTGGTAATCACGCTGTTGGCAGTCCGGATAACAGCGAATACGTATAATCGAGGTTCTACTATAATCATTATGTCTCTGAGTACCTAGGGCAGTAAGAGCTGATTGTTTTCTTTTTTTTTATTCTTCTTTGGCAACCGAGTCTCCGGAACGTTGTTGTCGACTGGCTGATTGTTCAATCAAAAAGTAATTGTTGACTGAAGAATAAAATTGACATTTGACAGTTTTTAGACTTTTTACTAAGTTTAATTATCAAATACTCATAATTGTTAGATAAAATTTATTTCGCGTTGGGAAAATCGGCCCTAATTGCAATAAATTTTGGCCTTAATTGGAATCTTTGAGTACTGTCATTATAGACACAATTAAAGAACAATAGGTTGCGGTCACCGGTGACCGCTTGGTGTTTGACAGTTTAACTCTCTTTGAACCGAGTACTACATACTAAACTACATGACGACTGCACGCTTGTTGCGGTGGCTGGGCAATTGACTGCCGCGCAACGTGTCGCGGGTTCGATTCCCGCACGGAACAACTCTTTGTGCGATTCACAGATTGTTGTTTCTGGTCTGGGTGTCATGTGTATGTGAACTTGTATGTTTATAAACGCACCCACGACACAGGAGATAATCCTAGTGCCTATGTGGCAAGGTTTATATTGTAAGAAAAAACAGAAGTAATTAAAAAAACAAAAAAATGACTCTATTGATTTGAATCATACATTTTTGTCGTGTTCTTTAACATAACGACAAGGTTTTATAAAAGGAAAATTCGACATATTCCCGGGAACATCGGGAAATAGCACCCGCCGAAGTTCCGGGAAATATCATTCATTGAATGTATACGGATATCTCCCGAACTACCTTTTTCTTATAGCATAATCCGGTAAACGAGCAGACGGATCACTTGATGGTAAGCAATCGACGTCGCCCCAATGGACACCTGGAACACCAGAGGTGTTACAAGTACGTTACCGGCGTTTTGGGGATTAGGAGTTTGAGAATCGTTGGGGACCCCTGAGGATTGGGGAGATTGGGGGGGGCGGGTAATTGGGCGTCCGGTAACATCACTTACACGACGAAACACAACGCAAGCGTTGCTTCACGTCGGTTTTCTGCTCGGCCGTGGTATCACTCCGGTCGAGCCGGCCCATTCGTGCCGAAGCATGGCTCTCCTACACTTACCTCCTATCTTATGAAATTGAATCATTCTTCATTGTTGTTAAGCCAAGAGAGAAAAATTTGATATATTCACATAGTACTCAGTTGAAGCTGGGGTGACCGCTGATATAATAAACAAAATAATACAATACAAAGGACAGGCCTTTTGTCAACTAACCTAAAACATCTAACAACCAATAGTATAAGACTATAGATGGAATTTAACTACTATAGTTACTATAGTTGTTTTTTGTGGTGGTACCGTTACCGCAAAACCTTCACTATCGACTGCGTGAGATGTGGGTTCAAATTCCGATAAGAATAAAATATATGTGGTCCAAAAATTCCTTGTACGTGCCAACGTTTTTAAACACACGAAGATTGTGGAAAATCGTAGTTAATTAAACCTTTACTTATAGATTTTATTTATAGCAATCGTTAGATCCGTTTTCGAGAAAGTGACGAAGAACTGAGCAAAAGGTGTTAGGTTCGATTACCGATTTCCAAGTCGGTTTTAAAAATATGTTTGTGTTCATCATCACGCATACACGCTAGGAACGAGTAACTTGTTGTTTTTTTCTATGGCATAAGCCGGTAAACGAGCAGACGGATCACCTGATGGTAAGCAATCGGCGTCGCCCATGGACACCTGGAACACCAAAGGCGTTACAAGTGCGTTACCGGCTTTTTGGGGATTAGGAGTTTGAGGATTGTTGGGGATTCAGGGATTGGGGAGATTGGGGAAGGGGAGGGCTCACTCATACGACGAAACACAACGCAAGCGTTGCTTCACGTCGGTTTTCTGTGAGTTGTGGTATAAAATAAAAAACCGGTTTAGGTGACATCACACTTTATATATTTATTGTATATTTACAATATTTGACTTAACAATAACCTATCAATACTTAATTAACTCAAGGTTAAACCTTTTAACCGCCACAGTCACATCTATATCTATAATTATGTTAAAAAAAGTGAATAGGGTAGATGCCTAATTTTTATTTTAATGTCCGTCTGGTAGATTATTTTAAATCATTAGACACGTATTTTTTATTTTCTTACAGAAACGAATATATTCAAATTCATATCACTTTAATGCATGCACAAATTTTCGACTATATTACATTGATTTGAAATATCGCGTGACGTCACTTCTATGTACATTTTATACGTAGAAATGACGTTTTAGCTCCCACTCCTAAACTTTGATTCGTTTTATCTAAGTACATATTGTTTTATTATACGACAAAATAAAAAAAATACGTGTCTAATATGTTTTCATTACCTAACTTACGCACTAATTAGATTTTTAATTTTCAAACCCTGTCATCCTAGTTTTAAAGAGGAATTTATTATTTGTTTGCATTGAATAGACTCCGAAATTACTAGACTATTTTATACATCGGATACATTTCGGTGAGTGCGCAAGGGTATAGTACAATTTAATTCATCTTCTATTTCACCATCGGACCAGTAAATAAACGGCAAGGCGCCGTAAGAGCAATTATTAGTCGGGGTCAGTACAAATGCGCGAATGTACCATACGTAATGGCCGCGTATCTGCAATAGATTCAGTATTACAGGGGAAGGTTTAATTTAAACTTACATCACGCCTTTTATCCCGAAGGGGTACACATTATGCCACTGTGTACAATGTAACACTCTCTTTTCACTATTTATGTTATGGGACCCATGTAACAGGGGGTGAGCCTATTGCCAATTCCAGACTCCGTGCTACTACTGAGATTTTTTAACCTAGTAATACTTTGCCCGACCCGGGAATCGAACCCGAGACCCCTTGTCCGGCAGTTGCACTTGCGACCACTCGGCCAACGAGGCAGTCTCAGGCAGGCAGGTTTAATCTTAATAACTTTATTAATTAAATGAATTTTAGGCTCATTTTAAAAAAATAAAAATGAGTCGAAATGAACTTGTGTCAAGGCGGTAACAACCTTGGCAACCAAATAAAATTTAGCGAGATTTTTCCGCGAAAACTTGAATTGAACATTTATCATCTGATAAATGTAGCCCCCGTATCTACGGGGAATTATGCAATGCTAGTTCCGGGGATTTGCACTATTCCCGAGTCGGGGACCCCGACGTATTCTACTTATTTAAGCTTAGCGATGTGGCGATCAAAAAGTTTAAAATATTGACATCCTCATTGGTCGGTTAGTTACAAGCTGAACTGATAAACATAATGTAGAGGTACTAGCTTCACCACTCCTGGACAAAACATCACTTGACTTTATTCCTCAATAGCTTTTACCCGCGGCTTCGCTCGCGTCATAAAAGGATAAAGAGTAACCTATGTGACATATACCAATACACACAGCGCCATCTATACCAATAATTTCGTTTTCCCTCGAGAATATCAATGTTTTCTGGGATAAAAAGTACCCCATTATTTAATCCAGACTTCTAACTTTACGTCTGCAAAAATTCAAAGCAATCGGTTTAGTAGTTACGGCGTGAAAGCGGAACAAACAAACAAACAAACAAACTCACTTTTCCATTTATAATATTATATAAGTTCCTCAATGAGGTAGGCAGAGGTGTACGTAAACATATGTTTAGCTGACTATAATAATCTTTATCATTACCAACCCTGCAGCTGTAGCCAAATGCCATTTAATGTCATCCCCATACATTTAGTTTTCTACTCTCTCTGTAGACAAGCGCTAAAGTGGCGTGTGGCTAAAGGCCCTGGGCCTTGGGGATGACACTGACAAGTGTCAAAATTCACGTCAATTCTAGTAAGGATATTATAAATCAGAAAGTGAGTTTGTTTGTTTGTTTCTTTGTTCCGCTTTCAAGCCGTAACTACTAAACCGATTGCTTTGAATTTTTGCAGACGTAAAGTTAGAAGTCTGGATTAAATAATAGGGTACTTTTCATCCCGGAAAAATTTGATATTCCCGAGGGAAAACAAAAGTATTGGTATAGATGGCGCTGTGTGTATTGGTATATGTGACAAGGGCTACTTTTTATCCTTTTGTGACGCGAGCGAAGCCGCGGGTAAAAGCTAGTTCCATATAATTTGGTTTTTTATTCTACAATTAGACGAGCGCTAAATGGTATTTGGCTACAGCCGCACGTTCGCCCATAGTAGGGTGTTGTTCAGCCATACTTTTCAGTTGGTATTTTACTTCTAGTTAATTTACATGTGGTTTCAAGAAGGTTAGTATTTAGCCGACTTATATGAAGGTTCTTCTGAAGCTTGCGGCGCTTTCCGTTTCTGAATTATATTCTGAATCTGTAACAAGAATTGATATTTGTAACACATAACATAACATCACGCCTTTTATCCCCGAAAGGGTAGGCAGAGGTGCACATTATACCACTGTGCAATGTAACACCCACTTTTCACTATTTATGTAATGAGTCCCATGTAATAGGGGGTGAGCCTATTGCCATATACCGGGCACAATTCCAGACTCCGTGCTACTACTGAGAATATTTAAAAACCCAGTAATACTTTGCCCGACCCGGGAATCGAACCCGAAACCCCTTGCCCGGCAGTCGCACTTACGACCACTCAGCCAAAAAGGCAGTCTCAGTCTTATTGTAACAATTGTACATAATATTATTATTTTGTATTTAACATCAGTTACTTGTACTTCACGCTTCTTCGAAACGAATTATCGATATAATCTTACAGCGAAAATGAACTCATAGGCAATGTCTATAGAATTCATTTCATTGAGAAATAAAGAAAGAAAAATAATTTATTCGCCACCAGACATTAACACCGAATATTAACACACAAAATAAACATTGAAAAAAAAAAAGAAAACAATAAGAACATAAAATAACAAAAAAAACAGCAGTAAAAAAAATCAATGAAGGCAAAAATAAAACATTATAAAAAAGCAAAATAAAAGAAACAGGGTGGCAGCATGTCCATGACGAAAGGGCTCGCCAACTCAGTGTAAGCTGGACACAGTAAGTACCCAACACTGGTTCTCAGTTGGCACCCCTGCAGTGACGCACGGACGGAAGCAACAAAAATAATTTAAAGGAAAATAATACGACTACATAAGACATGGTAAAAAAAATAAAAATAAAAGAAAAGGAAGAAATTTTATAATATATTAAAAATAGAGTTCAAATTAAAATCAGACAGTTAGAATGAAAACCAATTAGGATGTTCCTGGATGGTTAAAATAAAAAAGGGTGTTCTATACAGGTGAAGCCATGAACAGAAAGCTAATTTATATATATAAAAAAGAAAGTCATGTTAGTTACACTATTTATAACTCAAGAACGCCTTAATCGATTTAGATGAAAATTGGCAGGGAGGTAGCTTAGAACCAGGAGACGGACATAGGATACTTTTTATAGAATACTTTTTTTTTACTTTTTACCGAAAATCACGAACGGGAACAGGGACAAAATGGGATTGCGCGTACGAAGTCGCGGGCAGAAGCTAGTAAAATTATAATAAATGGTACCTGTTGCCACTCCCTGTCAAGTTCAGCCTTCTCGCTCTTATCCTTGGTCTTCCTTGTCTTCCGTCCGTCCTGAGTCTTGACTCCATACTGGAAGGCAGCCTTCGGCAGCGCCTCCTTGCTACTCATGTACGCCGAGTACTCCTCCTGGGTGTCGAAGTCCCAACGACCTGGACATAACGATTGATTTTAATATACAACTTACAAATTCTTAAAAAGAATCCTTTTCTGACCGACTGCCTCGTTGGCCGGGTGGTCGCTAGTGCAACTGCCAGGCAAGGGGTCTCGGGTTCGATTACTGGGTTTTGAAAAAGCTCAGTAGTAGCGAGGAGTCTTTTTTTTTTTAGAACGTTGCCCCACACTAGGATTTTCTCCTGTGTCGTGGGTGCGTTTACAAACATACAATATCACATACACATGACACCCAGACCCGAAACAACAATCTGTGGATCACACACAAAGAGTTGTTCCGTGCGGGAATCGAACCCGCGACACGTTGCGCGGCAGCCAGTTGCCCAGCCACCGCGCCAACCGTGCAGTATGGCGGTATATGACGGTATATGGCAATAGGCTCACCCCCTATTACATGGGACTCATAACATAAATAGTGAAAAGTGGGTGTTACATTGTACAGTGACATTAAGTGATGCAATTGTACACCTCTGCCTACCCCTTCGGGAATAAAAGGCGTGATTTTATATTATGTAACCCTATTCTGTCCGTCTGTCTAAATAACGTGATTCCCGAAGAAGGTAATTATGATTAGGTAATTATGGATTTAAAACCACACGAACGACAAGTTAACATGATAAGTAAAATGAAATCACCGGAGCGTTTGTACGCACATAACCCCCGAACTACTTGACCAAAATGGATTATTCTTTTTTTGTCGCCTTTGTTATTAAGACAAGGTTTGCGTGAAAGAAAAACGGACACATTCATCAGGAAATGTCACCGGGGCAAAGTTGGGCCCGCTAATCCTTCCTAGTCCTTACTATAATATTATAAATCGGAAAGTGAGTTTGTTTTTTTGTTTGTTTGTTCCGCTTTCACGCCATAACTACTGAACCGATTGCTTTGAATTTTTGCAGATGTAAAGTTAGAAGTCCGGATTAAATAATAGGGTAGGTACTTTTTATCCCGGAAAAATTTGATATTCTCGAGTATTGGTATAGATGGCGCTGTGTGTATTGGTATATGTCACATTGGCTTTTTATCCTTTAGTGACGCGAGCGAAGCCGCGGGTATAAGCTAGTAGTGTTATAATTATGGAATATGATCATTCAACATTTTGAACTAAACCAAACTGCCTAAAAATATAATTATACATACCAATAGGTCCCTTCTTATTGCCGGCATCCATCTTAGTGTAATCCACTTCATCATCAGAGTCATCGATGGCGTCGTCCATCTCTCTAAGTCCAGGGTAGCACTCCGCGTAGCCCTGGGGCTCCGCCGCCAGCCGGGACAGGAGCGCCGCCGACCGACGGGATACTTCGGGGACACGGCCGCGGACCGGGTCCGATACTAGGAAATAAAAAATCAAATTAATACACGGGTAGGAAATTAAAAAAATGATAGGGTAGATGACTAATTTTTATTTTAATGTCCGTCTGGTAGATTATTTAAAAACATTAGACACGTATGTATTTTTATTTTTTTTACGGAAACGAATAGTATCGAATATATGTTGATTTGAAATGTCGCGTGACGACAAATTAATTTTTTTTTTTTTTTTTTAAATACAATGTTATTTTTATTATCTTCAATAAGTTTTTTTCTCTTTTTTGGCAACCGAGTCTCCAAAATGGTGTTGTCGACTATACTGCCAGTGTCGAGTGGTGATATTTACTAACTTTATAATTTAATTAAGTGTGACATTTTTTAATTATGACATTTTGTTAAATTGCGATATGTTTATTTTTTATTGTAAGCCACAAAAATATCTTAACTTAAACTGCAAAATATATTTGTATGTCTTAGCATAGACAAACTGTTATTTACCTTTAAGATCTGTATTTTTGTTACCTAAGTAAGTTTTACAAATAATAAATGATTGATTGATTGATTGGTCACTTTTATGTACGTTTTATACATAGAAATGATGTTTTAGCCCCCACTCCTAAACTTTGATTCGTTATATCTAAGTATCATTTTATTATACGACAAAATAAAAAAATACGTGTCCAAAATTTTTTTGATTATCTAACTGACGGACTAATTATATTATTAATTTTCATACCCTGTCATCATCCCTATTGCAATTATTACAGTTATAACAAACAATGATTAAATAGATTGGTCGACTCCAGTGAACCAATCAATCAGAGCGCCAAACGCACTCGATACTAATACGTTACGAATGCGATAGTTATTCGTGCTTGGCATTCTAATATTTTTTTTTATGGTATAAGCCGGTAAACGAGCCTACGGATCACCTGATGGTAAGCAATCGGCGTCGCCCATGGACACACGGAACAACAATGCGTTACAAGTTACCGGCCTTTTGGTAATTGGGAATTTGAGGGTTGTGGAGGATTCGGGGATTGGGGAGACTGGGGAGGGGGGGTAGTTGGGCCTCCGGTAACCTCACTCACACGACGAAACACAACGCAAGCGTTGTTTCACGTCTGTTTTCTGCTCGGCCGTGGTATCACTCCGGTCGAGCCGGCCCAATGGCTCTCTCACACTTAACTCGTCGAGTACCGGTTTTGTAGACACAATTATAGAACAATAGGTTGCGGTCACCGGTGACCGCTTGGTGTTTGACAGTTTAAAAGTCTGACAAAAGGGTATTAAATGTTTTGTTTTTATAATAACTATCGTGAGACATACTAAATTAAGTAAAAACGCGGTTTAAGAAGAACCCCTCTGTAGTTCGAAACTAGTAGAGCTTTTCTCAGTATATTCACGTGAGTAACCCGCGGTTTTACTTAATTTAGTATGAAATATTCTCACCGTCCATCATCTTGTCGTCCGCATCAGCGGGTTTGTCGAAGTACCCGCCGGCGGCGCGCGCCCTGTCGTCGCGGCGCTCCTGCCGCTCGCCGGGGTTGTAGTCTCCGATCTCTCCGTATATTGAATCGTCTGCACGACCCTTCTCTGATGGTTTGTCCTGTAATTAACGGTAAATTCATTATGTGATGACCCTCGACTAATTTCGAGTCATTTTTGTAGTCTATATATAATCATTTTCAATAAACTAAGTTTTAAAAAAATCGATTTCAAACTCTTTTTTTAGTATTTTCTCTAAAGTCCTTAAACATAGATACTAAGACTTGCTCCTAATTGTAACAAATACTTTTCTAAAGAACACATCAAGATCGGTTCAGCCACATCGACAGATAATCGCAAACAAATATACATACAGAGAACCTCATTTACCAGAGAACATCATTACCTCGTTTTTTTGAAGTCGGTTTAAAAATACAGTTATACTTAGACTAACTTAATGTAATTAAGCAATTACTTAATAACATTAAGTTAGTCTAAGTATAACTGCCTCGTTGCCCGAGTGGTCGCAATTGCGTCTGCCGGGCAAGGGGTCTCGGGTTCGATTCCCGGGTAGGGCAAAGTATTACTGGGTTTTAAAAAAATCTCAGTAGTAGCACAGAGTCTGGAATTGTGCCCGGTATATGGCAATAGGCTCACCCCTTATTACATGGGACTCATAACATAAATAGTGAAAAGTGGGTGTTACATTGTACAGTGGCATTAAGCGCCGTAATGTGCACCTCTGCCTACCCCTTCGGGGATAAAAGGCGTGATGTTATGTTATGTTAAGCAATTAATTTTTAGTTTTACAAGCAATGTTACTATATTTTATATATGTCAGCACATTTTAACCTAAAACACAGACTTGTACCTAGTTCAGGTTTTATTATAGACTTTAACTTTCTTTAGGTAACAAAATTTATTTTGTAATCTGGCTTATTACACCAAATAAACATTATTTATTTGTATTGTAACTTTTGTGAGACATACTAAATAAATTATTATATTTTCGGCTTACTCACGTAGTGATTCGACGAGGAACTCGACTAGTTTCAAGCCATGCTAGAGGCTCATATGCATGAGCAGCATTCCGCGACCCGCGACACGGCACGTGACACAGTGAGCGCGGTATGTAACACTATTTTTGCGTCGACCCGGGATTCGAACCCGGCACCAACGCAGCTACCGGCGGGCGAGTCTAACGTGCCAACAGTGCCACGCGCGCCGCCGTCGATACTACGAGTGGAGCACAGTGCGTGCCACTCCCGCCAGGGGGCGCGCGGGCACGAGTAGCCACTACCAGCGACAGTCGCCCCGTAGCGGGGCGCGGAATACTGCTCATGAATATGAGCCTCTAGCATGGCTTGAAACTAGTCGAGTTCTGAGTCAAATTATTACGTGAGTAAGCCGAAAACATAATAATTTATCATTTAATTATTATGAATTATATTGAAGGCACTGATCTCTGTGATACAGGTATTTCCCTAGTACAGAGGTCAGGGTTTTAATTTTGTACTACGACACTATGACTTGTATCAAATTAATGTAATGTAATGTAGGTACAAGTATTAAAAAAAAACTAGTTCAGTTCAGATTCACTTACCCCTTTAGTCTTCTTTAGTTTTCTATGCCTTCCATGTCTGAGGTAGGAGAAGATCTGCGCCAGTTTGTCGAGCACGACGTCGTTGGCGGCGGCGGCGGAGCTGCGCGTGTCGGCGGCGGGGACGTCGGCCTTGCTGCGCGTCAGCGTCGTCGGGATGTCGCTGTCGGCGCCGCCCTCCTCCTCCAGCTCCACCACGTACGCCATGCGCCCCGCCGCGAACATCTCGTTGCGGGACACTTTCTTGTTCCTGCCAACATTCGTGATGTTAGGTCAGTCTGCGAACTGTGGTGATTATTGTTTCGTAGTTAAAGTCCGATGACTGTAGATGAAATGAAAGAGGTATGTAGGAATCGTAGCAATTGGTGTTCCATAGTCTCTGCCTACCTCAATAGGAGACAGGCGTGAGGTTAAGGATGTATGTATATTATGAGGGGGGATTTTTATGCCTACCAAGAATGGGGATTATAGTAAAACTCTCATATGAGGTTTTTTTATGGCGCAAACGAGCGGACCGTTCATCTGATGGTAAGCATTCGGCGCCGCCCATGGACACACGAAATATCAGAGGCTATACACATGCCTTACCGGCCTTATGAAGCATGAACGCTTTATTTATTTTATTTATTCAATAGGTACACAAAACAGAAACACAGCGCTATACACAAGCGAGTAACAACATAAAACTGTAAATGGCAGACCAGCAGCTGTAGCCAAATGCCATTTAGCGCTTGTCTACATGTAGAATAGAAAACCAAATTATATGGAATTGACGTAAATTTTGACACTTGTCAGTGTCATCCCCATACAGTTTGATTTTTACTCTCTCTGTAGACTAGCGCTAAAGTGGCGTTTGGCTAGAGGCTCAGGCTTCCACAAGTTTATGAATAGAAGCTACACGATAGTATTAAAGTTAAACCTAGACTCACTTTTGTTCCTGTATCATGTTGAAGATGTTCTTGCCCATCGCCGTCTCAAACTGCATTTCTTCTTCCTGCGAAATATTACAGTAGTTGACAACTATGTAATAAAATTCAGTACTTTCATCGATATGTCATAAATATTACTTTTCTATGATTTTTTTCAAAAATCATTTGGCGCAAAAATTTGTTCATCAAGTATATCGTTAAATAAATGAATGCAAATAGATACAATTATTTTTGAATAATAATTATTTGTAAGCACTAAAAAGTGGAAATAATTTAATTTTGAGTAAAGAAACAACCACACAATTCAATAGTTATGCTTTGAAATGAAAATTCACCATTGAGTTAATATTACAAGATTATACAGCGGCCAGCAGGTCAACCAACTAATTTAAACCTGCTAGTATAAATAATGACCGTTAAAAAAACTAAATACTCACCACAGGAACCTCCTTCTTCTCCTTGACTGGTTCTACAGGTGTGGTCACCAGTCTTTCCATCTCAGCTTCCTGCTCCTGCTCCCGGGTCTGAATCTCGGACCTCACCTGTGGGCATACAAACATGTTACATTACCTATACTTAAAGAACTGGTTTTGTCCGTTGGTTAACTAAAGATGTCCATTTTTAATTCACACATAATTTAAAAATACATGCAGCTATAGCCAAATACCACTTACCGCTTGTCTACATGTAGAATAGAAAACCAAATTATATGGGATTGACGTAAATTTTGACACTTGTCAGTGTCATCTCCATACATTTTGATTTCTACTCGCTCTGTAGACAAGCGCTAAAGTGGCATTTGGCTAAAGGCACTAGGTCTTTAGTTAATATAATTTAATTAACATAATTTATATTAATACAATATAATTTAGTTTTCTATTCTACAAGTAGACAAGCGCTAAATGGCATTAGGCTACAGCTGCTGTATTCAACTAAATGCACATCACGTCATAATAATATAATAATAATAAAAATCTTCATTTTCTCGAAAATACTCTACGGACACAAATTATTTAATACTAGCTTTCACCCGCGGCTTCGCTCGCGTCACAAGAGGATAAAAAGTAGCCTGTGACATATACCAATACACACAGCGCCATCTATACCAATACTTTTCTCTCGGGAATATCAAATTTTTCCGGGATAAAAAGTACCCTATTATTTAATCCAGACTTCTAACTTTACGTCTGCAAAAATTCAAAGCAATCAGTTCAGTAGTTACGGCGTGAAAGCGGAACAAACAAATAAACAAACTCACTTTTCGAATTATAATATTAGTAAGGATAAGGATGCTACAATTAAGAGACTGGTGTCTGTTAAAGGTATAACCTGTGTTACAGATCACCAGGCCCATCAAAAGCAAGTGCAAAAGCCTCTTCTCACACAGAGAAGATTAAAGCATTAATCACCACACTTGCTCAAAATTATCAGTCCAGGTTTGCTCACGACAAAGGGGATTATATAGTCTATTCTTTAATAAAACTGATAATATAGTCAATTGTAATGTAATTAAACACTTTTAAACAGCGAACTTCGACCGCGTTTTTTAGATTTGATTCTTTTTGACTTGAAATATCGCGTGACGTGTAACTATCTACTTTAAATTAAGTACAACATAGTTATCTGTATTATAACTTTCGTGAGACATACTAAATAAATTATTATGTAGTTCTTCTAGAGTGTGGGTGTGATTACGCAGGCGAATTTTTTTTTAATTTGTATCTGATAGGTGCTCGGCCGCTATCTCACCTGATGGTAAGCGACGATGCGGCCTAGAATGGTAAAATCTATGTACATACACCAATGCTTTTAAATAAATAAGTATGATTCTGTATACATACCTTTTGTAAAAGGGCGTAGTCGAGACCTTTCACCAAATGCGTGTGTTCCATGTCACCACCGAGATATTTGGATTCCTGAAACAAATATTTCACTTTATGAGCAATCATGAATTGTGATTCCTTCCACAGAATCCTTGTTATCAGATAAGTGAGGCGAGGTAGACTGCCTTGTCGTTAATGTGAATGAAGTGAAGTGATTACAAGTTGGCTACCGAGCAAGCAGTGTCGGGTTCGATTCTCAAATCAGGCAAAGTATTATTAATCTATTAATACTAATATACTTAGTTGGTAGCATGGCTATGTCTGATATCCAGTGTATGGCAATAAATTCACCCTTTATCACAAGAGACTCATAATATAAATAGTAAATAATTATTGTAATAACTATATTTAAAAGAAACCACTCTTTTTTAATTCGTCTAATTAATATACCAACACGTTTAATTAATATAGCATTTTTCCGAAATCAAACTGATCATCATCATCCTTCTTTTTGAAGTCGGTTGAAAATAAATTGCTACATTGTATTTTGCCTACCCTCACATAAGGATAAGGAGGAATGTTGACATATGAATATACAATAGAAAACACAGTGTCTCGCGTATATCAACGTTCCGACAGAAAAGAGGTTAATAGGCCGTCACCACTCGACACTGGCAATATAGTCGACAAAATTAACCTGGAGACTTGGGATGCCATTCAAGAAGAAAAAACTACAAACCTGGATTAGCTGTCTCCTTCTCTCTTTGGCATCCATTCCTGATTTCAAATCTGGGGCCACCGCTCTGTAACATAATTAAAAATCGAATCTTATTCCAATCTAAGAAGATAAACATGTTTATAATAATCTTTCTTTATTGTCGTAAAGGTTGTCAGTTCTTTGGGTGACTTATATCTAGACACAGGTTTAAAATGTAATGTGCTATAGGTACTGATGCTGTCTCCCAAACTAAGCGAAAGCTTGTATTTTGGGTGGCAGTGTTCAGTCGTATTCCAATCTAAGAAAAATAATAATGATATTCAACTCGAATCATATTATAACACCATCATAACAGGGCGCGCGCATCTGACTGCACGGTTGGTGCGGTGACTGGACAACTGGCTGCCGCGCAACGTGTCGCAGGTACGATTCCCGCACGGAATCCTTACTATAATATTATAAATCTGAAAGTGAGTTTGTTTGTTTGTTTGTTTGTTCCACCTTCACGCCGTAACTACTTAACCAATTACTTTGAATTTTTGCAGACGTATTCAGATTCAGATTCAGATTCAGATTCATTTATTCATTGTAAAACATAGGTACATTATAAGTTCTTATGTTATATGTTGAGAGCGCTATGTTTTGCCTCTAGGGCGTACAATACATGCAATATACTTAATAAAAAAACAAGGATTTGACACAGATTCATAAACAATAAACAGTAAACACATCACTACAATTACACAATTTTGACCATTTATCTCGTTAAGAATTTGCAATTTCATTGAACATTGACGACTCTTTAAATCAAATTAATAAAATAATGTAAACCACAAAATATCCGCTTTGAAGAACATTAGAGATTTTCAATAATGGCATAAATTAAAATTAAATGTCAAAAATAATAATATCAAAATGTTAAAAATGTAAAATTCAATGTCAAAGCGTAAAATTAAAAGTCAAGATGTCAAACTTCAATGTCAAAGCGTAAAATTAAACGTCAAGATGTAAACTTCAATGTCAAAGCGTTTAAATAAATGTAATAATATGAATTAATAAAATTACTGAATTTAATCAAATAGTCATCCAAAATTAAAATAGTCATCAAGTCAACATTAATAATAATAATTTATAAAATTACAGAATATAATCAAATAGTATTATCATTAAAATAGTCATCCAAGGCATAATAACATTTCTCAACTAATAACTTGTGAAGACACTTTTTGAATTTCTTTAATGGCATACATTTTATAGCATCGGGTATTTTATTAAAAATTTTTGGTGCTACACCAAAAAAGCTCTTTTTCATTAACGCAGTATTACATTTCAACGTACATAGTTGATTTTCATATTGACTCCGAATGGGGGTCTTCTTAACTGTTGAAAACTTTGTAAATAAATGTGGATTTGATTTTACAAATAGTGCAGTTTCTAATATATATATAGCTGGTAACGTTAATATTTTTAATTTCTTGAAGTAGGGAACGCAACTATCTGTTGACTTTAAATTACACATGGATCTTACACACCTTTTTTGCATCCTAAATACTAGTTCTCTATTTGTTGATTGCCCCCAGAAAACAACACCATAACGGAGAATAGAGACTACAAGTCCATGATAGGCTGTTAACAGTGTCTCAGAATTAACTCTCTTAGATAATTGAAACAATAGATACGCAGATTTACTCAGTCGCTTACAAACCATTTCCAGGTGAGGTTTCCAAGTCAACTTATGGTCTACTGTTATACCCAAGAATTTTGCACTCGTAACCTCTTCTATTTTACACTCATCATAGGTAATATTAAGGGGTGGATTCTCACGTCGTTGATGAAACTGTATAATTTTAGTTTTATTCAAATTGATCACAAGATTATTATTATTTAGCCAATTAATGATGCTATTTAGCGAGTTATTGATCTCATTTCGATATTCGTTTGGATCAGTGCATTCTATGATAGCCGTACTGTCATCTGCAAAAAGTACCATTTTGTTTTTCAAATTTCTTGGGAGGTCATTGATATAGATTAAGAAAAGTGGGGGCCCGAGTACAGTACCTTTATTATTATTATTATTATTATTTATTTAATTCAGACAGGCAGTTGAAACAACTGATAAATGTCTGTATCGTATTCTTCTATCAGTGGTTAATTCGATGTTGTGTATCTGTCAAGTCTGTTTTTGAACTGGTTAACATTCTGTGCAGCGATTACATATTCTGGAAGCCTGTTCCATGCTCCGACCACGCGATTACTCAGAAATTGTCTGTGAGGAATATTTTTCGATAAGCTTTTACACAGCTTAAGGTGGTGGCCTCTAAGATGAACGTTTTCATTACGTGAGAACAGTTGCTCGAAATCAGTAATGTCATAATGTCCACTCAAGATCTTGTATGTCTCAATTAGGTCCCCACGCTGCCTGCGATCCTTCAATGTGGTTAAGTTCAAAACCTTCAAGCGCTCTTCATATGGATGCTGTTTCAGTGCTCGTGGTATTTTGGTAAAACTACGCTGTACTTTTTCCAAGTGTTCGATATCCTTTACGAAGTAGGGGCTCCAGACCTGAAATGCATACTCTAGGACGGGCCTGACGAAAGTTTTGTGGATCTTAAGCATCATCTCCGGAGTCAAGACACCGAACGCTTTCCTGATGAGGTATACAAGACTCTTGGCTTTTTTGGTGATCGAAGTTATGTGCTCTTCCCACTTTAGATCCTCGGTAATCTTTACCCCTAAGTCTGTTTGCACCTTGACCCCTGTCAGTTCAGCGTTACACAGTTTATATGTCAGACGAGGATTACTGGTACCTATATGCAGTACCGTACATTTAGAAGCGTTGAGGTTGATGAGCCACTCCTTGGACCAGTTTGCTATTCTGTTTAAGTCCTCTTGAAGATGGTTATAGTCAACTGTCGGATCCGCAAATATTTTAGTATCATCAGCAAATATGCTGACTTCACATCTCAGGCAACTGGGAAGGTCAAATGTGTATATTATATACAACACTGGGCCCAATACAGACCCTTGGGGCACTCCGCTATGCACTTCTCGATGTTCTGATAATGTCTCACCGATTCTTACTCGTAAAGTTCTTTGCCGCAAAAAGGATTCGATCCAGCTCAGTAGTTTTCCGCGTATTCCCACGAATTCCAATTTCTGCAGCAGCCTACCTGTGGGAACTTTATCAAAGGCTTTTTCATAGTCTAAGTAGATTACGTCTATAGGTTTTTTTTCATTGAACTTCTTTGTCCATGATGACAGGCTCGACAGCAAGTTAGAAACTGTAGAACGATGCGGGCAAAAACCATGCTGCTGTTGTGGAATGACTTGATGGTTGGTGAAAAATTTCCTGATGTGCTTAACTATAATTTTTTCCATAGCCTTGCAAACCACGCTAGTTAAACTTATTGGTCTATAGTTTGAAGGTTCCAGTTTACTCCCTTTTTTGAATATGGGGGTGACTATAGCCGATTTCCATAGATCTGGCAACATTCCAGTATCATAAGACGTTTGCATTATCATTGCCAGCTGCTCCGAAAGGTCACACTTTTTGAGTAATACTACAGGAAGATGAAGAAGAAAAGAAAGAATGCTGTGACTTTATATGTGGTCATTTGTGGTTTAAACAAGTAAATAGCTAAACAAAATCACCTGTATGCACTGCTAGTGTTACTAGTAGGATCCATAGGCCCCAACTCGTTGACTCCATCTCTCCGCTCCCGAGCTCTGTCCCTATACTTCTCTGCCAACTCAGCTAACTTATTATCTTCTTGTTTCTTTAAAGCTGCATAATAAGACTTCTTTTTCCTACGTAACTCTCCTTTGTTTTCCATAGGTGGTGGCATTGAACTGAAATATTTGAAAATATTACATTAGAATACATTAAAATTGACAAAATATCATCTTCATAAGACAATTTCTAGGATTTAATTGGATAAGATTGTAAAGAAAGTTACTCATAATAAATTAGATTTACATAACAATTAATTTATATGTAGATGAGCACAGAAAAGGTAAGTGTGGTCCAGTTAATACTAGTATAGATTGTGTGAAGCAACAATGTAGTTTGTAACAGTAATATACTGTTTTAGGGTATAATTAAATGTTCATGGACATGATGTACCGAGTTCAACTACCTTGGTAAAAAGAAGATCAATTACATAGCGAAAAAATCAAGGTTCTTTAACCGTGTTTACATCTCCTACAGAGTTTATTTATTGATACAAGATTATCTTACCCAGAATTAGCCATGGCTTCGCGCACGGAGCCGGCAGGATGGGAGCTCCCAGAGCTTCCAGGTGTAGCCCTGGGAGTCATCAGCAGCTTCCTAAAGTCTTCATTTGTAAGCCTTTGAGAGGCAGGCGTTTGTTCCACGTTATTGTCATCCATTTTTATGTCTTTTTGAAGACTATGTGTCTAAAAACGCACGCTACACCGTAGCTATGCCGCTTGATCAATTATGATGTAATAAAACCCACTCTTTTCGTTTATAATTACACACGATGCGAATATTCTATCTCAAGAAACAACATTGCTTTGATTTTGTGATTATGATGTACTTTGACAGCTACCATTGACAAGTGTAGCTTTTTGAAGAAGTGTCAATTCGAGTATTAGTCTTTTAAGTATCTTTGTTTTATTGATTTATTCTAGTTTCAAATATTTAGAAAAAAACAGTAGATATATATTACAATGGTAATGCCCTGAATAGCACAGTACACTGTCACTCAGTATTCAAATTCAAAATTCTTTATTATCTTAAGAACTACACTATCTGTCAAACATTGAGGCAGTCCCAGTAAGTTATTATACAATACTTGTGTTGTATATAACATAACATAACATAACATAACATCACGCCATTTTATCCCCGAAGGGTTAGGCAGAGGTGTACATTTCGGCACTGAATACCACTGTACAATGTAACACCCACTTTTCACTATTCCTTTATACTATTCCCATGTAATAGGGGTGAGCCTATTGCCATATACCGGGCACATTTCCAGACTCCGTGGTACTACTGAGATTTTACAAAACCCAGTAATACTTTGCCCGACCCGGGAATCGAACCCGAGACCCCTTGCCCGGCAGTCGCACTTGCGACCACTCGGCCAACGAGGCAGTCTCATACTAAATACATAAGTACTCAGTATATAACTAGATGATAATACATGGTATAGTTCGCACAGTCGATTTGACACAGGTCACACTGGCATGGCCACCAGGGCACTAGTCATAACTCAAGTATATGTTTATCCTGATGGATGGAAATTGACGAGGGTGACTCCGATCCCCAAAGGGGCTCCTAGTTCGGATGTGAATGGATACCGGCCTGTTGCAGTATTGTTTACGTTTGCAAAGGTTTTTGAGTCCGCGTTATCTGCATGTATAACTTCACAGGTGAGTGCACATATCTGTGATGAGTAGCATGGATTCCGTGCGGGTCGTGGTACTAGCTCTGTTTTATGTTGTTGTTGTTTGCTCTTTGCTGATGACTTAAAGCTATTTCTACGTGTGGTAGATAAAGAGGATTGTAAGCGCTTATAAAATGACATTGATCTGGTAATTGATTGGAGTCGGAAATACAAACTCTTCTTCAATGTCCACAAGTGCAATATAATGTCCTGTACGCGTGCCATGTCTCCGGTGCATCATCGATACCACATGGAAGACAATGTCATGCCTCGTGTTGAATCGGTACCAGATTTGGATGTGCTTGTGACCAAGGATTTGTCATTCAGGGAACATATCGAGAAGGTTTGCTCTAAAGCCTACAGAAGTTTAGGTTTCGTAATGAGAGAGACAAAGGATTTTAAAAGTATAGCAACAATAAAAATACTTTACAATGCTTTGGTTAGGAGTCAATTAGAGACGAGTGCTATAATAATGGAACCCCCATGAGGTGAAATACAGCCTCATGGTGGAGAAGATGCAAAACAAGTTTATTCGGTACCTGTACTTAAGACAATATGGAGTGTACCCGTATGTATCCTTCTCTGTTTGTTATTGGCATGGTGGGATACTATAAGCTAGAGATCAGGCGAGAAGTTACACTCGCAAAGTACGTGTTTGAGGTTTTCCGGGGTAAACAGAACAATCCACCCATACTGGCTTCGTTGAGGTTGCTCGTCCCAAATAGAAAGCTAAGGCTGAGCCCGAGGCAGAGACTATTTGAAGTCCTCACCAGTCACACTTACATAGGTCAATATACTCCTGTGGCTAGAGCTATTAAAATAATTAACAGCGTTGGACAAAAGGTTGATATTTTCTGTTGCTCATTGGCGGAGTTCGTAAAGGTAACCACTCATGTTGTTAGTTATACATATATGTAGTTGATGGATAAGTGCAATTAACATGTATGACTGTGTTATATAACAATGTTAATTATAAGTTTTTATGTTAAGTGACAACATTATCGCATTGGGTGTAACCTGTTAAGATGCGTTGAATTAAATAAATAAAATATTTAACTCTAACTCTAGAACCACTCAACGTTATCTTGATTGACCGCCATATATAATTATACATTGCTGAATGATGAATCCTCTCGCGCGTTTCTCGTACACACGAGTGTCCGAGAGAGTTGAGTTTCCATCGGGCAATTGTACACACGGGTGTACGAGATTGACTTGCACCGATTGGATATTTTTTCTGTGACGTATATTTTCAAGTTGCAACCCGTACTTTATTTGATTGAATGTGGATTGAACAGATTATCTAGTTCATTCGCTTTCTATTAAAATATTTTCCATTGGCAATACCGATACATGGAATGAAGAAAGTTGAAATTTTTGATTCGTCTTTCAGCTATCTGTCACTTTTTGGAGCCATTGTTGAACAGAACATAAATAAAACAAAGAATAAAGTACCTACCTAAGAAAGAGTATATAATTATAACGAGCATTGAATTGCGTGTGTGCAGACGAAAATCATGTTTCCTAATAGAAAACGGTGAGTAATCTTATAAAGTTTATATAGAATTACTGAGAAATAAGTGTAGATTATGTTGCAAGTGTTTGTTTTTGGAAAAGTAATAAATATACCAGTGAAAAAGTGACGAAACTTGTGAAGATGCTTATTTTTTCAGTATTGGCCGTCGTGTTTTGACTTGTTTTAGTGCAAAATTTATCTCGAAATGCTTTGAAATCTACATAATTTGTTAGTTTATTAACCTATAAGCATAATGAAGTTACTACAAAGTGATATAATTGCATATTGTTAACATAATCGTTGTTGAAAAATAAACCGGTAAAAATGGCGCCAAAGTCGTAAGTAAACATTGCATAAAGTACAGACAGCAAAAATTTTTTTTCTATTATTTTTGTTGTGAAATATTCAGTATAACGTGAATATTGTCTTAGTGTTCATATCTATGAAAGCCAAATGTAAAGATTGTTTTAATTTTCGATTTTATATTTTTCATGAACAAAAATTTATTTTCTTCTATTTTACGTTATTTCGCATTTACTTAGGCAGGGTTGAGTTGAGTGATCAAAACATTGTACAAGAACTAATGTTTTTCATTTTATTTTAAGATTACGTTCTCGAAGCGTCACCCCAGTTGGGGATGACCGGGACAGCCGTGGCAGCCCCGAGCCTAACCGGCTACCCTCGGCTTGTCTGGCCCTGTTATTGGACCTCGTATGGAAGGCCCCGGACCGGGAAATCGACGGTCCCTCACCACCACGGTGAATGTCTTTTTCATAGCGTTACCTACAGTGTTTCTTTAATTTCAGTGGTGTAATTTGTAATTGTTTCTTTCTAGGTCTCGAGCTGTGGCCGTCGACCAAACATCTGGGGGTTCTCTACCGTTGACCGATTCGACGGTGCCGATCGAGAAGAGGCAGTCCAAGCCTAGCCTGGGCTTGCCTATTGGGTAAGTTAATTTTCCTTCACAATCCTCCTAGGCTATCGCGGTGCCATGGGTGTACGACATTGCATTTATTTGTGTTATCTTTATCTAGGGCTGATGAGGCAGAGCTCCTGGAGGATTTGGATTTGGACGACGACGAGATCATGGAGCTCCAGTCCAAACATCCAGGGTTCATCCAGCAGAGGTTGAGGAGGCTGCGAGGTGACGACGCACCGGGGCTATTGAAGGTGCCAACTAAAGCCAGCGCCAGCAACACGGTTGCTCTGGCTTCTCTTGTCTCTAGTGCCATGTCTGAGGCAAGCGTTTCCTCCGAAATTGATGTTCGTCCATTAACTTCGAGGGAAAAATTGCCTTCACAGACGGTAGCTAGAGATTATGGTAGTGACCCCGACAGCGATATCGAGGACGTATACGATGTCTCGGCCATACTAGTTGTCAGGAATGGAATTCCTGACTCCGAGGACCTTGAGGAACCGGTAGATGCTTTGATAAACGAGGTCGATACGGGGATGGATAACGCTATCGATACTCTTTTGAGTGATTCAAGTAGTTTCAAGTGGGAAGAAGATTTTGGATTATTCAGGGCTGTTCGTGAGGATTTCTCAGGTCCTACCCCTGGGTCAGTCAAAGACTACGATTCACCCTATGATGCCTTTACTGATATTTGGGACGAGGAAATCATAAGGTTGATAGTCACGGAAACTAACCGATATGCCCATCAGGTTATCGATGCTGAGCGTGAAGCAGGGACATTGAAAGCATCATCTCGCCTTCATTCGTGGACGGACACAAATGCAGACGAAATAATGACTTTATTCGGGATGTTAATGTATATGGCTATCGACTTGCGGTCGTCGATAACCGAATATTGGTCATCAGACGATGTGCTCCATTTGCCGGGGTTCAAACGTCTGATAACCTATAATCGGTACATTTTGCTAAATAAGTTTCTTCATTTCGTGGACAATTCAGCTGACGCAAGTCAGCCAATGTCGCGAAATGAGGCTGCTTATTTAGCCAAACAATCGGCCAAGCTGAGGAAGGTGGCTCCTATTATTGAACATCTCAATAATAAGTTCAATTCCTTGTACAACCTAGGTGCTGAATTCAGCATCGATGAGTCTTTGACCTTATTCAAGGGTCGTTTGTCCTGGATCCAAACAATAAGGTCAAAGGCTGCACGATTTGGTATCAAGTCATATGAACTATGTGAGTCCCGCACTGGTTATATGTCGAGATTCCAAATCTACACCGGTAAAGATGACAGTACTGATGGTAATCCATTACTTGGCGTCGATTTGGGAGGAAAGAGCATTAAAGTAGTTCTAGAGCTTTTGCAAGGTCTCGAACATCGGGGGCATTGTGTGGTGATGGACAATTTTTACAATTGTCCAGCATTAGCACGGTACCTCAAGAGTTTAGGCTTTGATTGCTTTGGACCTCTTCGTGTGAACCGTCGAAACGTGTCTAGTGCCATTGCAAAGGTTCCGAGGAAAGTGAGCAAGGGGACTATTATAGCTCGCCATTGTGGAGATGTATCCATAATTGCATGGATGGACTCCAAAATGGTGAATATAATATCCACCTATCACACTCCCGAAACGTACATGGGAACTAGGGCCGGAAAACCACTTCTGAAACCGGTTTGTGTGAAAGATTATAACACAGCCATGGGGGGTATTAATCTAAAGGATCAAAAGCTCTCCATGTATCCGTTAGAGCGAAAGAGATGCCTGAAATGGTATATGGAGATATTCAAAAGGTTAATGAATGTGAGTGTGCACAATGCGTTTGTGCTGTACCGAAGTTCAATGGCTCGCAGAGATAAATTGGCTGAATCGCATCGTGAGTTTCGCTTCGAACTTGCAAGGTCTCTGATCAAACGGCATCGGCCCTGTTTGACAGAGATTAGCCAAGTTCCAGGGGATCTCATGAGGCTGAGGCGAGATATCGTACACGAGCCAATGTACACATCGGGCAGATCGAATAGAAAGCGATGCACGATATGTTATCGACAGAGGAAAACTAAATTTATTCATTCTCGGTGCGTTCAGTGCGATATATATCTTTGCTTTGAAGACTGCTGGAGAATTTGGCATTCTGCAGCAGAGCTTCCGGGCGAAGATGTTATAGAGCGGCCGAGACCGAAGCGCTGAGACTAATCATTTTAGGGCGCGGTCGTGAAGCGTGGTTGTTTTATAAATGTGGTGTGGTGTTCTGGGGCGTCTCGTGCGGATTGCGTTTCGACGGGACGTCTAACCGTTGAACATATCTCGTTTATTACTGCTTCAGTTGCTGCTATCGGAGGCGTTACTACTATCGAGGACGAGACGATAGCCTAGTAGCGCCTTCTGCGTTGGCATAATCATCGGGGACTGGTATGTTACGGGACATATATCAGTCTCAGTTTGTGCATTGTAAATAATGTACGAATACTCATTATATGTAATGTACATTTGTAATTGTTGCTTTAGTCTGAGATTGCGCATTGTGAAATTGTATATTTTTGAAAGTAAAACCCATAATGCAGGACAAAACCCTAATGTATATCCTAGCTGTTACAATAAATCGATAAAAAGCCAATGTGACATATACCAATACACACAGCGCCATCTATACCAATACTTTTGATTTTCCTCGGGAATATCAAATTTTTCAGGGATGAAAAGTACCTACCCTATTATTTAATCCGGACTTCTAACTATACATCTGCAAAAATTCAAAGCAATCGGTTTAGTAGTTATGGCGTGAAAGCGGAACAAACAAACTCACTTTCCAATTTATAATATTAGTAAGGACAACATATATAAATTCCTTAAAATGAAGTACATTTTATTCCAAATCATTCAAAGGCTTCTCTGAGAAAGGAAGGAAGATTGGTGGTTGATGCAGTTGTTAGTAAGTATATAACTGAATGAGCGACGACGACGACTTAGTGAGGGTCGTGGAAATCATTGAATGCGAGACACACAGAACCGGTCATTGTTGCGATGTTTGGGTTTTTTTAAGGGGGGAAAATCATCGAATGACAGCTCCCGCCTTGGTGAGGCGGGAGGGAGTGTCAGACTTTTACTGACTGAAAACCACCACGTTCCTTCTACTGCACGTCGAGCCGGAGCCCCGGTTACCCGTTAGGTTCTCCGCGACGATGTTTGGGTGTGGCCAAATAACACAGCGCGCATGAAGACCGTGTACTGTGCATTAATAAATAAAAATAGATTTAGGTACTGTTTTTGTACTCTTATGGTAAATACAGTTGCGTACACTGTATTTACCATAAGAGTACTGTAATTTTAACTTTTTTGGAAATTCTTTTCAAAGAAAAAAAAGGAAACCTAATTGCAATTCGCCTAAAAATCATATAAATGAATAAAACGTAACGTTATATTGCAGATATTATGAACTTAAAAAACAATGCTTTGATAAGTACTTAGGTACACGGCTGTAGCGTGATAGAATTTAAATATATACCTACCTACTTTCCATTTCAAAAAACAATTAAAATTCCTGCCACTTAGATACCTACGGTAAAAAACGTTGACTGGAGTTATTAAAACACAGGAATAAACAAAAATAGAAGAAAGACCATAGACCCCATCCCTGATCAGAATCGAATTCAACGTGCCTTCAGTGCCAATAACTTGATATGAAGTTAAAGAATGAGATCACGAAAGAAATAGAGATGTACAGTATTGTACCCCATTCCTTATAGTTCTAATTAAGTTATGTATTAGTTTCTTTGATACTCATAATTTATACTATTTTTTCTTATTAAGGATACTGTGAAATAAAATAAATCATCAAATAGAATAGAAATATTTCATCAGTTTTTATTTATTTTCGTAAAATCAACTTTAAATCTTAGCTTTACGCGTAAAAATCTTATTCATCGATATGACGATATTTCCATCATACTGTTTACTGTATATTTAGTTATACATTTATAGCTTTTTTTTTTAAGGGGGGGAAATCATCGAATGACTGCTCCCGCCTGGGTGAGGCGGGAGGCAGTGTCAGACTCTTACTGACAAAAAACCACACCGTTCCTTCTCCTGCACGTCGATCCGGAGCCCCGGTTACCCGTTAGGTTCTCCGCGACAAACATTTATAGCTTGGCGCTCGGCGAAGCATTGCGTTTTGTGCGCGTTGGCGGCGAAAAGGTTAATGACTATGACAGTGATGCAGTGGTAAATAAATATTCATACAGGGTTCGTACAACATTTAATTAAAAATTGTCACAAATTCAGACTCTGTGTGATCCACAGATTGTTGTTCCGGGTCTGGGTGTCATGTGTATGTGAACTTGTATGTTTGTAAACGCACCCACGACACAGGAGAAAATCCTAGTGTGGGGCAACGTTTTTTAAACGAAAAAAAAAAATACTTTTGTACCTACATTTATTTTTTATAAATCTTTGTACTTTTGTCTAGATCATAATAATATTCCTTCAAAGTACTTATTGAATACATACCTACTTAAATGATAGAATAAATACAGCTGTAAGTGTCAAAAAATCAAGTTTATTTATTTCTTTTTGAATCCGGTTCCAACGCAACAACAATTCTCAGTGATCCTAACCCTGGTCTAAGTTTTGAAGTATGTTCACAATATAAAGATGAACCTAGGTATCATTCTATTATTTTAATTAAGTAGATACGTATATTACGTAATGTCAACAATAAATTATAATTATTTCAATTTATATTTAAATGGAGAAGCCTTATCACTTAATACAATGTGTTTAGATCTAAATTTCTCACAGAATTAAAAAAAAAGTTTAATCGAAATAAAACCATGCAGGTAACGTATTTTTGTTTGGCTTTATTATAGAACTACATTTTGTTAGTCCTTGCTAATTTCCAGATCTTTAAATAAATTAAAGATAAAATTATATAAATGCATACTTAAATTCTTTGAAATATATCCCATATATATGAAGATAAATCTAAATAAATAGGTACTTATTGTCCCAATATGGCGTGGAAGGTGGTTCCTTTGAATCCAACATTCCCTGAAGGGTTGTCTTGGAACGTAATGTACATCCTGAAACAAAGTTATCTTTCATTCATTTGCCGGTAAGCGCAGCGTACGACGTCCATCCGGAAGGTGGACAGACGACCTGGGTGCATACTCTTGAAACCAATCTCAATGTCAATGCAATTTTAAAAGAAAAAAAAGAAATGTCAATCCAATAAAATCTCAATAATTATTCAATGTCAAAACTGTACAACCCCTTTCGTAGCTGTTGAAATAGCATTCAGAGTAAGGAATATAAAACCAAACTCAATACCTACCATTTAGTTCGTTCAGTAGCCACACAATACGGATGCAATGGGTTCTAGTGTTTTTTTTATATATTACATTTCTTGTTCTCCACGGACTCTTGTCCGTGCCCTTGTCATTCAATTACATTTTCTTTTATTTTACAGTCAAATTGTTACAAAAATCGGGTTCTAGTGTACGAAATTCCTAAATACCAATATCGATCGACCGAAATTAGATTCAAGAGTACGCCCCCTGATTAAGGTCGCAGGGAGCTGCTGGATGCAGGACGCTTTCAACCGGCCTATCTGGAAGTCATTGGGGGAGGCCTATGTTCAGCAGTGGACGTCCTGTGGCTGATATGATGATGATGATTTCCCAGTAGACAATAGTTACCCAATCATTAACATTTTGAGGTCATTGCTGTATGGAGGGACTGACGGTTGGCACAATGACTAAACAACCGGTTCCGGCACGGAACAACTCTTTGTGTCTCATCTACAAATTGTTGGTTCGAGTCTGGATGTGATTTGTGAACCCTCTTTGTTAGAAAATTTCCTTTATCTTCAAATGCGGAATGGAATCCCCAAAAAAGTCTAACAATGCTCTTGTAACGCCTCCTCCGGTGTTGCGGATGTCCATAAGCGGCGCCAATTGCATTCCATCAATGGAACTGAGGCCTTAGTACGAGTTGAGTTGAGACCAACCAATAAGAGTGCCGAACGTGTACTCGTTTCGAATACTTTAAACGTAAATCAAACTCGTACTAAGGCCTCTGTCTGTTCGTTTGCTGCCTTATACCAACCATAAATTTATCTTCAAAGTCCATATCTTCGATAACCAATCTAACTTAATATGTTTTCTCTCTTACAGATAAGTAGTAGGTACTATCTACCTTGATGACCGAGATTTGCTCAGTGTTGTTTTTTAGTAAACAATAGTTTCTGAAAATGAAACTTAGCCAGATCGATTTATCGCCCCCGAAACCCCCTATGTATGTACAAAATTTCGAGAAAATCATTGGAGCCGTTTTCTTATCACCTTTTAAACCTTACCTGGACTTTTGCACGGTGACTTTGACGCGAGTACTAACTAGTCTAAACCTTTACCATGGGCCACCAAGATACAGGCTGTGCCTAGTTTGGGGCCCACGGGCACCTCTGCCGTATTTGTATTTATGTGAATGCTGTTCGCTTCCATGTCTACATGTAATCTAACTTGTGTATGCCAATAAACAATTTTATTTTTTTTTTACTTCCACGAACATTTTTTTTTTACTTCCACGAACATCTTAAGTCCAAAATTAACCAAGTCGATTCAGCTGTTATCGAGTTTTAGCGAGAGTACCTAATGAACGGACTTCATATAGAAGATAGATTGCTCATTTAAAGGTATTAGATTAGAGTTACCTACATATATCTAATGTATCTTTGCGCTATACCATCGCTGTACCTGAGCAAACTAGGTTTGTCGCTATAGTGAGGACGAACTAATTTATTATTCCCGTCCGTTATCACTGGAGACCACTGCGAATCAAACTAACAACCTAATAGTCACCACTGGGGACATGAGCGTTGAGAACAATTGGGAATGACAGTCATTTAGCCTATATTTTAAGACTTAAGATTAGACTGAACAGCAATCAGTCTATTGGATGACACAGCCAGATTCAGAAGGCCAGAATTTTCTGACTATATTTTTAACTTTTAGATGCAGGTGAGCCCTGCTCCGACACCTCGGCTCTACCAGTGTGATCCTAACTACGGCCTTACAGAAAACCGGCGTGGAACAACGCTATGTTTTTTCGCCGCGTCGGGGAGGTAACCGGAGGCCCCACAATCTTCCCAATATTCAATAATCCCTAATCCCCAAAAGGCCGGCAACGCACTTGTAATATTGGTGTGTCACTGGGAGGCGACGTTTGCTTACCATCAGGTCTGTGATCCGTCTCGTTTGTCGGCTATCCCATAAAAACGGCTACCTATTATGACGTAATAACTTAATTATCATCATCATCATCATCATCATAACATCACGCCTTTTATCCCCGAAAGGGTAGGCAGAGGTGCACATTACGGCACTTAATGTCACTGTAATGTAACACCCACTTTTCACTATTTATAATAACTTAATTACTCATTGATAATAACTACTATATTCAAATTCACAGGTGCAATAAGTACCTACATAGAAACAGACTTCAAATAAGTCAAATATCTCTATTTGTACCTACTGACTGATGAGGTCATAGCATGGTTTGCCTTGACATCACGTTTGAAAAGGAGTGAAAGGGTTAAAAATAAATCACCTATAAATATGTACCTACCTTTTGAAAATGGGAACATGCGTCTGCGTATCCAATCTATTACATGCACAATACCCAGTAATTGTTAAACCCATTTTACTGGGAGTCGTAATGAGGTGCATAACTTTGTTTCCATTAAAGAATATGATTCTACAAGCTAATGGCTGATTATCAACTCTTCTCTGTTATAATAACTATAAAGGCTAAATAATCGATAACTACTTCTATACATGCGTTTTTCCCACCTCGATATCGATTGCAGTTCGTACCATTCCGATGGTAGTACTAATAAAAACAATTAGGCTGAATCAAATTGTCTGTGCCTTACATGGAAAACGATTTCGCGCCATTATGTATTTATGTTAGTTATGTCATGTCATGCAACAAACATGATATTCATTCATGAAAGTGTACAGAACGTGTAAATTGATACAAATAAGGACAAAAACAAATAAAGCGAACATTCAAGATAAATAGTTATACAATTTATTTGTCTCATCTCAAAAATACAAGTTACTCTTAACATTCTAATAGCACATTGATTATATAGAAAAACATTTTTAACACCAGACAAAAAAGATGTAAAAAGTTAACAACAATAAAATAAAGAATATAGATTTTTATACTGAACAAACAATTAAATTATGTAGGTATTTGTAAACCAAAAATATTTCTCTAAACAGTTGGAGATTTATTTAAAAGATTTATTATTATTTAATTAACTAATTTCCATTTCATTACAAAATTAACTAATTTCCATTTCATTACAAAATCAACAACCGTGAAAATTATTTGTAATCTGCTTGTAGCCCATTGGTTCATGAGAAAATGATGTTAAGTTTAAGTTTGCATTTTAAAATATTGCAATTTCTATTGGAATTGAAAAAATAATACTGTTCGTGTAATGGTCTATTGTTAGGTAATGATCCTTTGTTTTCAAAAATAGGAACCCTTGATTAGTAAAAGCAATGGGATGATTTAAACATTACGCTATTATCTTATGATACTGATACCTAATAGGGAAAATTATTAATGTCCGTCTGGTAGATTAATTTTAAAACGTAAGACACGTATTTTTTATTTTCTTAGGGAAACAAATACTTTGACGTCACTTCTATGTAGATTTTATACTTAGAAATGACGTAGGTAGCGAACTACTATTGTTTTCTATCTACGAGAAAATAAAAAAAAATACGTGTCCAATATGTTTTCATTACCTAACTGACGGACTAGAGTTTAAAATTTTCATACTCCGACATGATCCCTATTCTGTTCTTCTGTTAATTCGCCATCTTACTCTTACCTTTTAGGAACATAACAAATATGGAAAAAAATATTGCCAAGTCCAAACAAACACAATAGTCAAGGCAGATCAACTTAAAATCCAATAAATCTTAATAGGTACAAAAGATAGGGCCATACGTTTTCTATATTAATTCGTAACATTGCTTAGTATGAGTCATTATCATTAAGTAAAAGCACTTTATTATAATAGCTATGATAAGGGTAATAGAGTAGAGAATATAGTCATATAGTAATTATGAGGCGTGGTGTTTTACAAAGCATTGTACACCGGGCGTCGCGCGACTTCAAGTTCATAAAATTTTGTAAATCGGATTTCAAGTCTGCTGCCAGTGACCAGATAACATTTAATTAGGAATCCGTCTATGAACTGTGTCCAGACACAATTTAACCTGGGGCAGCGAAAGGACAAAAAAAGCCTTAACCTTTTGAATTTAAATTGAAAATCAATTGCAATTTTCGATTTAGACACTAGATTCTGTAGTTATTGTTGATCATTATTGAGACTTCTGGCCCTGGTTAAAAGTATAGCGAAATAAACAATGAATTTAAATTCCACTATACTCAACAGAATTTCTTGGTCAGGGTGACGACCTTCCCTGATTAAAAATGTTCTTTAACATTAATTACTTTTTCATACATTGTTTAAATTATTTAACTAGCCAACTAAAAATTTTGAGACGCATAATAAGCAACATAGCGAATAACTCAACAACCACCATAGAATCGAATTGTAAAAAACATAGTTTATCCAAAGATAGCATGGAAAGTGGTGCCTTTGAAGCCGACGTTACCGGTAGGCTCGTCCTGGAATGTTATGTACATCCTGAAAGAGTAAATTTTCATTAGATTTCGGTATACAGAGTACAGAGACCTTGTTTGTGTACGTAGCACCTCAACACTAAAAAGGAGTACTTTCTTTTAAAAGGCCGTGCTTCGGCTAGAAGCAGGAGTCAGAACGAGATGGTTTTTAGTCAGTAGCGTCTGACACTTCCCTCGCCTCACCCAGGGCGGGAGAAGTAAATTGCTGATTTTTGCCCCTCAAAATAAAAAAAAACCTTCGGAATATCCCCGACTGTCTTTTCGATAGATGAAAAAGGTCTAAAGAGTCTGAATAACCAATCTACCGATAAAAAATTTCGGCACATTTTGAACAGAGCTTAGAGCTGCTTATATCAAAATTATATCTCTATCTAATGCCCAAATCCACCGACAAAAGGGTTATTGAACTAGGCATATAGGGTGGCAAGTTAATCTCCTCGATAACGTTATTACCTACACGTTGGCTAACGATAACTGGCCACTCGGGAGTTACTCATGCACTTCAACAATGAGCCCATTAGAGCACGGCATATTGATAAACACTGCACCTACATAGCTGGTTTCAAAGGAAACCCTTTTAAAAATAACGACTCGATGATATATTTTATACAGACGTTAACGAAAACGTAGCTACTCAACGACTTTAATTGATTCTATTATGGTATCTTTACATAATAAAAAATCACGATCATATTAGATAGTCGCATTTGCAACCCGAAATTGGGGTCTCTGGGTAGATAATATATCTCAGTCGGAAACGTATTCAATTTTCGAATATTTTTTAGTTATCAACTAATAGGAATTAGGAGTATGAAATTGGTGCATAGTAATTTATGGTCTAGCACTACTGCACTAGGTTCCTAGGTACATGGGATTGGAAGTCGGGGATAAAAAAGGCGCTAAGTCATGCAATGGCAGGTCCGATAGACTAGGCTAGACGCACTAGAACATATCCAGAGGAGTCCCAAGAAGCTCATTAACAACGATACACTTGTGGAGGCTCAAAGCCGCGAACACAGGCGCAAGATAGAAAGTCTTTTGCTCTACCGGATACATTTCAGTGAGTGCGGGGGAATCGCACAACTTGATTCCCCCTAGCTTTCTATTATCGTACCACAAGACAATCAGCGAAGCACCGCTCTGCTTCATGGTGGATATCCCACCCACTCGCACGACGCGCTCCCCATCAAACTTCCTTGTGCGAACTGCTAAGGAGTGGAATTCTTTGCCAGTTTTTGTTTCACGAGGGACTTATGCAGACGTGCTCCATCGTAGCCGCATCATCGCTTACCATCAGGCGAGACAGCGACCAAACACCCAAACATTATATTAAAAAAAATACATGTAGTAACTGCCGAGTTACCACAAATTTATCAAATATTAATTATACATTCTCTACTTTAAATAGTGTGTAATAAAGTCGAGATTTTATAGCCTCTCGACCTGGAGAATTTTATCCTTGACCCAATCTACATAGTGATAAGAATCCAATGAATTATATAAATATAGTATCTTGGCATTGTTCCAAAATTGATATCAATTAGCAAAACATCTTTATTGGACATATTGTTTATTTAAAATTTTAAATCGAGTTGATTGGCTAATGGCTAAACTACTGTAAACACATGTTGTATGTTATTCATTCAACCCACAATAATCACAGTTTGAATACCTATATAATGTAGATCTTTGTACATTTAGAAATGTTACATTCAATAGTTTTTTGTTTGTAAGGGGGAAAAATCATCGAATTACTGCTTCCGCCTAGGTGAGGCGGGAGGGAGTGTCAGACTCTTACTGACTAAAAACAACCCCGTTCTTTCTCCTGCACATCGAGCCGGAGCCCCGGTAACCGGTTAGGTTCTCCGCTACACATTTAATAGTATAGGATTTGATAAGATATGACATCAAAATCCGGCAAGAGTCTACAATGGGACTATGAGAGGTTCAGGTTTATCAGAGCGCTGCTGCCCTTTCTCTGTTACCAATACGTGTAGGTAATACTATAAACTGGAATGAGCATGACTTTTTATTTTTTTTTTGTGGACTTTCAAAACTGTCTTCCTGGTCTAATTAAAATAGATGATTTTGACTTTGACTTTAGACCCTTGTTTTTTCTTACGATGCTCAAAGGAAGGAGAGGGTTGGTTACTCTAGCAAGAAGAAGTAGATATTTAGTTATTCTTTTCTATTTATAATGGGTAGTGGTTTGGCCACAATTTAGCCTGATGATAAGTAAGCTATGACGTGGCTTATCATGAAGCATGCCTGCCCATAAGCAACATATTCTCTCGAGCCTTAAAGACACCCAGGAGTTTCTCTTGTTTGCCATTATTTGTTATAAATCTTTCAGTATTAAAACCTCACCTGTCACTCTTAACTCCCAGTTCCTGTTCCACCAGCTCAAACAGTACTTTAGCATGTTTCTTGTTCTGCTCCACGCCAAGTGCTCCAATAGACATGATATTGGCAATAGCACAGGGCTCCGTAGATCCACCGAAACTCATTAGCACATCCGGAATGATGGAAACTACACAGTACTGAAAAGAAATTTTTAGTTAAAAAAATTTCATGAAATAGCACAGGGTCTGAAATATTGTCCAGTCTATATAGTCATAGAGGTATCCTTATTATAAGGGAACATTTATAATTGCATCTATAGTAAATTTTTATTTTTTTATATAACATAGAATATAATATTTACAACTAAAATTGTAAAAGATAAAAATAAAATAAAAATATTGGTTCTAACACTAATAATAGTTGGCATTAAAAAAAGAATATAAAGTTATTTTCTGGGTTTATTATGGTTCATAATTTATTTATAATTTACTATTTTATTTTTACTCAGCGTTATAACAATAGTAGAAACTAAGACATTTCCTATTAATCGAGCCCTCTTAGGGTGATGCAAAGACAAGTAAATATCTTAGTCTATTTTCATTATAGAATGCATTATAAAACTGGTATATCGAAAATAAGTACCTGCTCTGGTTTCCCAAGTGCCTTAGCTAACACAGGCACAGCTTTTTGTACAAAATTAGCAGGAATCTGACTTCTTGGTACGTTAGTCTCGATTCTGAAGTGCGGCATTTTGTCCTCGGTTTTCTCAAAAACTATTAATTTCAAATAGCGATGTGATACGACTGAATTTTTAACAGAATTTATATCGGGTTTTATTTCTAACGTCCGGCGAAAAAAACGAAAACTAACCAATTCCATTCGATTCAATGTCAGACAATGTCAGTCGTAAATGTCAAATCTGTCAAACACAAGTTTACCGAAACAGCTCACAAGATGATGCTAGTTACTACTAGTAGACAAGTAGACAAAAAAAAATTATGAAAAAACAAAAATATCCTCCTCCATTTTGGGAAGACGGTTAGCAAACTTTCTTTGATTTATCATAAAATAATAATAATTTTCTTTTATAGATAATATGCCACTTATCAAAGATTTTATTTTATTTGGTCAAGAATTCTAATAAAGATATTTATCTAGGTACTTTACTTCAATAGGTACTTAACGTAACAAAAATAATTATAAGGGATTTTACCAGGAAATGCAATAAAACTCATATGCTATAAAACAATAATAGGGGTTTCTAGTAGGCATAGATAAAAGATCTCTTAAACCATTTTCTTATCAAACTCTACAATTGTCTATTCTTGGTGAATTCCGGGTACTGTTGTGATAGTGATGTAGTTGTGGTCGATAAAATATAATTTCGAAATTGCAATAAATAATGATGAAATTATATTTTTTAGAAAATACATGGCATTTGCTTCACTCAACTTTGTAATCTGTTATAGATACCAAGTCTTTCAAATATTTCAATGTCCACAATTCCAATAACTGCATATATAATTGTAATTGGGATTCTGCCAAACATATCACATACGTATATAACGTAGAGCCTGTTGTGAATGCTGTGATTCTTGTTATCATAAGCCTTGTTGTATTGCCATATTATGTTACAGGTGCACATTACCTACGGCACTTAATGCGCGTACGGCGCGCGAGCGACGCGCCTAAAGGAGCCATCAGACCACCATAGATGGGGCCCAACAGGGCTGATGCCGATACGGAGCTGCAGAAGAATTAACGGGTTGCCGGGGCTCCGGCTCGAAGTGCAGGAGTAGGAACGGGGTGGTTGTTAGTCAGTAAGAGTCTGACACTCCCTCTCGCCTCACCCAGGCGGGAGAAGCCATTTGATGTTTTTCCCCCTCAAAAAAAAAAGGTACTCAACAAGATAGATAAAAATCAGTTAATCGATATATGATTTATTTTTGCGGTCGCATCATTAGGAAGGCCGAATGGTGGGGAGTAGATATGTGGATTTCAGCATACTCTATGCGCCGGGTAATTTGCGTTGTACACAGTGGTGGCGAACTGGCGATGACTGCACTTCATTGATAAGTAATCACATGATTAAATAATGAAAAATCATTAGATTGAGGAAGAATTCACAATAAATACAGTCCTCCAAGTGATTTTTGTTCAGTATCGATTTAGATTTCGTGAAACAAGTAACGCAGTGAAGTATAAGTTCTTAGCGTGTGAGTGTGTGTGTGTCTGGTGCGACTAAACAATATTGCAGTTTCATCAAACATGGGTAACAATCAGTCCGAAAATAATAGACCGACACAGTAAGTACATAATATTATTTTATACTTAGATCGTTAATAATGTTTAGGAATTTGTGCTTTGATACGATATACTTAGATATTATTATAGATCGTATCGTCAAATTTTATCCCGACTACAATATTATTGTGCGTGTTTCTTTGTTCATTTTACTTTCATCAACGAGTGTTTTATGATTTATGTCTTATACCTATCTTTCCTATGCAGGTGATGCTTACAAGTTATGAAAGTTAAGTGCATGGTGCATTGGTCAAGTCTGTTTATAAATTCAGACGAACAATATTAATCCTTAATTCAGCGTATTTAGGTGCTAACCGCCGCCATATTGCAATTTGCAAAGACAAAGATAGAGAAAAGAAATATAAGACACAGAGGCGGATTAAACATATACTTCAAAGGCGTCCCTAAATTTTTTGGTGCCACTAATCACTATCGGCTATCGGCACGCGCGTCTCGCAGAGGGTTGCCACCTTTTTTTTTGGTATATAAAGTACATTGACGATTATAGATAAGAAAAAAAAGTACACAGTACAAAAATAAAGTACAATTTATTCTTATTTAGTATTATATTTAAAAATATATGTTTATTGCTTTTTGCAGTTTGTATTAAATTAATATCTTTACTAAACAATTGCATTGAAATACTAAACAACTGCATCTTTACTAGAAATTGTCTAAGTGGCGCTGGCGAGTGGCGAAATCGATTCAACATAAATGGATAAATATCGATATCGAATCGATAAGTTTACCGAAAAATACTTACGATTTTAATAGAAATGAAGTTTGCAAAAATAAAGTATTTCCGTGTACTTTATTATTCTTATAAAGTATAGACTACAATTACCTTAAATAACGTACAATACTTTACGGGTGGCAACCCTAGTCTCGCAGCGTCGCGGCGCCCCTTTGTAACTGGCGCCCTCAACGCTCGCCTCGTTTCTCATCACATCAACAGCCTATATGTGGCCACTGCTGACCAAAGGAAAGGTCTTCTCACACGGGAAGGTTTGAGCATTAATCACCACGCTTGCTCAATGCAGGTTGGCGATTGCAAACTTATATTCCCTTCACCGTTTATCAGTAGTGTCTAAATAATCTTAGAAAGTATATAAGAATCGGAAAATGTCACATTGGTACTTGCCGTTGGTAGGTTTTGAAACCGCGCCCTCATCCATGAGAAGAGCTTTAACCTGTGGGCCATCATGACATTTTTACCTAGTTTACTTCCCCTTAGGTGTAACGACTCTGAAGGTACATACCTACAGTAGATCCTGTCGCAATCCCCATTTATTTTAACACTAGCTATTTCCGTCCGGTTTCGTCCTCTGCTCGACTCCTATTTCGACAAATTGACTCCCAACACAAAAATAATTTACGTAATAAGTCGAAATAGTCCTTTAAAATAATTAAGTTTCAGAAACAAACCGTATTTATTGTTTAGGTAGGTTGCTACTTATTATAATCTGCGCGCGCAATAAACTCTGCGCGTGTAAAGCCAACTCATACCTTACAATGTCAATCTATATAGTCAGCTTGCCAACTAGTCGGAAACGAATGGAATTTGAACTTTATTTCTCCGTAACAAAGACCACCTCAATGGTCTCGGTATCGTGATGTGTTAGTAACTTGAGTGAAATAATTACTATTGCGTCCTGTCTCACAAATTCACAACGTCTGATAAAGTTCTACATGTAATTAGACACGTTTCTTATAACAATTCCTACCTACGTTAAAATTATCCATTAGTTAGCCTAACAGAAAGTACTTAAGTAAAGATCTTTTTTAAGACCTTCTCCACTCTCTTTAGCTTCCTAAAATCCTAAATACATTTCTGGAAATACAAAAAATCCTACATATATTGTAATGGCTAATGTTTGTTTGTATGTTTGTTTGATTGTCACTCCGTCGCATTAACTCGTCGAGTACCGGTTTTGTAGACACAATTATAGAACAATAGGTTGCGGTCACCGGTGACCGCTTGGTGTTTGACAGTTTAAAACATCTGATGGGATCAAATATAACGTGCAACTGGAGCAGCTTATGATCTGGAATAAAACATAGGCCAATTTTATCCCACGGGTACGAGGACAAACCCGCAGGCAGAAGCGTGTATACCATGAAAGAAAGATAAAGTTTAGACGAAGTTTATATTATTAACGAATGGTCTTTATTGATCTCTAGTTGATTTATACACTTATTAGGCTATGATGCGACTGACATACGCTGTACAGTATAAGTCCTTAAAATTAAAAAGGAAATAAATTAAAATTAATGGTTGAAAGTTCAGAAAAAGGTTTTTATGATAGATGAAAGACCTATTCGTCTGGAAGTAGAGAAAATGTATTCCTCGTTTCTATTGCGGACCGCTAAAACAAACTATATGTATATTCTGCCAGTGAGCAGGGGCTTAGGGACTGCCTCGGTGGCCGAGTGGTCGAAGTGTGACTGCCGGGCAAGGGGTCTCGGGTTCGATTTCGCGGGTCGTGCAAAGTATTACTGGATTTAAAAAAAAAATCTCAGTAGTAGCACGGAGTCTGGAAATGAGCCCGGTATATGGCTATTGCTCACCCCCTATTACATGGTACTAATAACATAAATAGTGAAAAATGGGTGTTACTTCTGTGTGCACCTCTGCCTACCCCTTCGTGGATAAAAGGCGTGATGTTATATGTGTTATGTGAGCAAGCTCTATCATATTTATTATGCTTTGTCTATCGGTAATTGCGTGATACGATGCATAGACCACAATATTATGCATCCTCGTCGCTGAAATGCACTCGTAGTCATTTTGCGTCGGACTAATGATTATAATAGTTTATTTGTATCTATGTACTTAACCGTATATAGTACATATAGTATATAGTACCTATAAAGTGTAAAAAAAAACCGTATGAGTCATAATAATTGTTATCAGAATTCACTAGGTACTCGTGTAGGACTTGCACATGCACTATCGGTATTTAGCCTTTGTACGTACCTACACACAAACACCAGTAAAATGATTTGAGTTCGCATAGTTGACAAAGTAGGTAAATTAAATTAGATATTAATTTGTGAACCCATGCTGTTGAAGAAAATCTTATGGAAATAGTGTTTTGTGATTTTTAGTTTTTAGACGTTTATTCATAGTTACTGAAAGTGAATCGACTTTCCCTACATTTAACTGTGCTGAAAAGGACACTTCTAAATCATAACGTCATGCCTTTTATTCCTGGAAGGCTAGGCAGAGGTGCACATTACGACAATTAATGTCACTGTACAATGTAACACCCACTTTTCACTATCGATTTTATGAGTAATAGGGGGTGAGCCTATTGCGGATTGCCATATACCGGCCACAATTCAAGACTCCGTGCTAATAGTGAGATTTTTTTTAAAATCCACTAATACTTTGCCCGACCCAGGTCTCGAACCAGTAGTCGCGCTGTCGCGCTTGCGACTACTCGGCCAACGAGGCAGACACTTCTAAATCCTTAGAGCAATGAAGGGGATAAACCTCAATATACATGTGTATGTAACAAGGTTATTTGTTTGACAGGCCACATATGAATTTGTCTGACGTGGAGCACATCCTCAACACTCAGCGACAGAGGTACGAGCAAAAACTCCAGGATGAGCTGGCGAAGCAGAGAGCTCAACAACTTAGAGAGCAAGAGGCTAAGGAGAGACGGGCTAAAGAACAAGAGGCCAGGGAAAAACTTGCTAAAGAACAGGCCAAACAACGAGCCGAACAGAGCTCCAACTCCTCGAATACAGTCCCAAGGTATTTATTCTTTTTATTACCAAAACTAAATGAGTAGGCCTTTTAAAAACGTATGGAATATTTTTTCTAATTATAGGTAATAGAAGAATTTTCTTTCGTTATTCAGTAATCACATATTTCGGCAGTGTAATATCTCTTGTCTATGTAAAAAATAGAAGATCATTTTGTTACTATCATCATTATCTTCAACAAATTTTTATCTTTGCCATATAGCAACTCCGTAGGTGGCCCTCAGCAGCAAGCCGCAGTGATTGTACCACCGCAGCAGTTATACCCTACCCTGACCCAAACGCCGAACTACCCTGTTCATGTCAACCAGCCCCATCCGTTAATTCCCCAACCCAACCCTATGTTCCAACATTACCCGCAATTCAATCCACCCCAACCTTGGAACCCTCCCCAGCACGTAAACCATCCCAGGAACCAACCTAATTCATATCAAAACCGAACGACGCCGACGCCACCGCCGCAAGATTTCGTCTTTGTGAACGCGCCTGGACAAAGGTAGCTAACACTCAATTTACTTACTTACTTTTACAAAATTACATTTTTTTTAGTTTTAAGTTAACAAAGTATATCATTAATGTAACACCCACTCTATCCACTTTTGAATAGATATAGCATTACCGAGCCTAGTAATTATAAATAACAACCAATGACCGAGGAAACAATAATTTGCGGACGCAAAAATTAGTCCAACCGAATCCTCTGGTGTTGCGGGTGTCCATGAGCGACGCCGACCATCAGGTGATCCGTTTGCTCATTTACCGATTTATCTCATAAAAACGTCTTGGTCTCTTTCTCTGGACACTTGTTCAGCATGGTTTTAAAACGACCTTTGCTTTCAGATACAAGCCGGTCCCGTCAGCCCCGGTGGAACCTTCAGGCCCTAGTACTCGGCCTCGAACTCCTGATGTAGTTCCATCCCATGGCCCCAGGAACCGCTCACGCTCAACTAGCAGGTATGAAGCATATTTTTGTTACTCCACAAACTGTAGGTACATCTTCAATGGATTGTCTACTTTACTTTAATAGACCGTGAGAGTGCACTGATGGACAAGGTCTCCTCTATCAAAGGCGTTTCTCATTACCTCCATGGTTGGTAGGCGGGTTCAGGTTTATCAGAGAGCACTGCTGCTCGTTCTCTGTAAAACATGTCCCTTCGTCGACTCTTATGCCGCGTCTCCAAGCAGTCGCAAGTGACCGCTCTCCACTTACTCCATTTTGGCCCTAATTTCCGATGTGTAGAGACTACTTTTGTATGAACAAATGTTGTGGATTTTTCGTAATCGTGGAATTAGAAGTTAAGTTCGAGTGGACGAGAAAAAATTTTGAAAATTGTTTTTTTCTCTGACGGCAGAGTTCAATACAACTTTCCACGCACCGTCATCGTCAAACATATCATATCTTTAACTAATAATATTTATATTCTCTTTTAGGGTTCGTCCTGTCAATAAGAACCGAGGAATCTATGATTGTCCCACATGTAACCAAAGATATGGGTTGAAAATATTCCAATGCCCGAACGGACACAGCGCCTGCAATGACTGCAAGATCAGAGGACGAGCCTGCGCCATCTGCGGACTGTCCCTTACTGGAGTCAGGAACTTTGAGGTTGAGAATCATGTAGCTCAGGTGAGTACCAAGCAAAATTACGAAAGTTTGTGAGAATGAATAAATGTCGTTAGTAACTCTCACGTTAAAAAATCTGTACATATTTTATAAGATTACTTAGTTTGGAGTAGCACATAAGCTTCTTTTATCCCGGGAGAATTACGATTCCCGTGGAATTCGTTCATGTGAAGTCGCAAACATCACCAGTAAAGAAATAGTGTGATGATAGGTAAATGTGAATTGTTGCAAAAAGATTGTCGTAATAATAAATAAGTTATCCAGAAATAATACCGAATGGAGCAATAACTACAACTACAATACGATTTTCAGTCACCAACAACCTGCCCAAACAAAAATGAAGGATGTAATTCGATGATCAAGCAGATTAACATGGACAAACATTTGGAAAGTTGTCCTTATAAAGAACAGCAGTGCCCTCTCGCCGCCATCTTCGGAACATGCCGCTGGAAGGGTAAGATAGTTACGTATTACTTAATCTTTTTGCCGAAGATGCTAAAGCGTTTTCACTCTTTTTTCTGCTTGATTTATTTTAAAAAGGTACAAGCCTATATTTCTATAAACCGGGCCCCGTTGTAGGCGTGCTAAAATACTTTTCAAACCTTACATCGAATTAGAATACAGATTTGATTAGCTCCATCAAAAGATCTATGACGGTCTGGCCACAAATTAACTTATTAAATGATATTTTCAGGTAAACTGAGCCAGCTGTCGACTCACTTTGACGAGATGCACTCATCGAACCGCGGAGTAGACGTCGACAAGGAAATTTACTTAAGAGACATTCATAATTCGAGCCGTCAGGTTCATCTCGTCGTTATTGGCGGATATAATTTCCTATGTCACCTTCAAGTTTCTGAGTCGGACGGCAAAATCTTCATGGCTGTCCAACTCTTGGGCAATACTGCTGCAAAGAAATGGTCTTATGAAATCCACGTTTACAAAAAGTCTGAACCGCGTAGGAAATATATATACTCGGATACTTGTGTCTCTTCAAAGTAAGAAGTGTTTAAATCCGGGAACTGCGCAGTGCTGCCGATATTTTATGCTGCAACCTTCGTCGACAGAGAGGGCATGGCATTCAAATTCTTCATCCAAAAAATGATGAATAAAAACAACGAAGATGATAATCAGGATGATCAGCCTGAAGAAAATCCAAGTTCGCACAATGACAACAACATTAACGAACTACGAGAAAACATGAATGTAAATGATACTGGTAAGAACTATTATAACTATCGCGGTAGGGGTAGGGGCAGGGGCAGAGGTAGAGGTAGGGGCAGGGGGGCGAATAATTATAATAATTATTATCAGCATAATAATAATTAGACGTGACGTCTTACGTAATCAATCAACGTAAGACGTCTCGTCTGAATATAGACGATGCTTTTAAATATTTTTCCTTTTATATTTCTATTTTTACTAATTTGGTTTAGTAAAAAATAGTGTGTTTCTAATGGCGCCACTGATGGCCGACTCTTTTGAGTTTCTTTTTATAATATGTATGTAACAAAGTTGTTCTCACATTTTGGTTCACACTTTGAGGACAAATATTTGATTACAATTTATTATTAGTCAGCTTGTATTATAAGATTTTATGTTTAATGCACCTATACTATTATGATTTTAAGTAGGTTTATAAAAAAATGTCAAAAATATGTCATATAGGTACCGTAAACTGTTGTTAATCGATTGTATCTTACATGAGACATATGTGACTAACATAATAATACTTTTGCTTGAAGAAAAACATTAGGTACTTACCTAATCTTTCCACATGCACCTGTATTAGTACCTTAAAAACATTTGCATTCATGTTGAATTTCCAGTAATCGCGTACAGTTAAGATAAATATTAAGCTTATCTATATTTACCATAGACAAATTACGTTATTGGTTCATGGTGTTACGTATTAGTTTTAATTGCTAAGATTATTTTTTAATTATGGAAACACTGAATAGTGTTGCCAGGTAGGGTTTACCACTGGCATGTCTTGGCATATTCATTATGCATGACCGTTTATTTGTTTTAATGATTTGCATTATCACAAATAAATATTTAAATAAAAAGCTTGCGATGGAATGGTGTCATTGTTTTGTAAGTACTTGAGTGGTTTTATCTTTTAACATCATTAAATACATTAAAATGTGCAACATGGCGAAGCTTTTTATTTTTAGACGTATTTACAAATAATTAAAGCTTATGTATTTAATGATTATTATTATAATTATTTAACGTTATAAAATAATATTTTATTATGATTGTAATAAAGTAGGTACTACACTTACATTTATTTATAGAGATGTGAATAGACCTTAGTATTCACTTGTAAAGGTGTAACACAACATTAAACTGAACAACGAGCCGAGCATAGAACCAAACATTGCTACGAACATTTTCAGTAGCATTCTAATTCTAGCGATGCCTAGTCGATGTTAGACTTGATAGATCTTTACTGTCATTTGATAAAATGCTTGCGAGAAAGCTCACTAGACAAGTGTTCTCTAAAACACTCTCGTTATATTTCTCGAGACACAAGTGAATTCTTAGGTTAATAAGTTTAAATATACCTAACTATATTTTATAATACATATTTTTAAATATTCTGTTGTCATAGACGAGTCCCAGAGGCCACATGTTGAAAATTGGCGGGAATCGTGTACCGCAACGGAGAGTCGTGTAAATGATAACCAACACTACCAACGACCTCGATCGTGGGTTAATCAGAGACGTGCACTTAGTAAGTTTATGTATTAAATATCATAGCTTCATTAGTTGTTAATTAATTAATGTAACTTAGTTACCTACTTACTAATCAAAGTACAATTTATCTAATTAGAATCTTGTTCGGTCCATTAATAAGAAATTTTAAATTTACATTAAATGTAAGTACCTATATAACTTACAATAATCATATTAATATTATGTATCTACATAATTATATTGGAATAAGCTCTTTTATAGGATTCCAAATTAGATTATTGGTTTTCCATGAACATTGTTACTTTTCTATTGACATAAAAGCGCGGGAGACGCTCCATTGGCTCTCCACGAAACAAAACATTGGTACTTAGTGCAAGTACAGATTATAAATACAACTATACTATAAGTACTAACCCAGAGCCGTATTATAATATTCATGGCAGTACCTAGGGCGCCAGGTTACAGAGGGGCACCGCGAGATGGAAGCACCCGTAGAGTGGCGGCGGGCGACGCACATAATAATTTAGGGGTGCCTGTGAGATGTTTGCCCAGGACGCCCGCTAAGTTTAATCTACCTCTGTACCTACTTACCTATCTTTTAATGTACCGAACAAGATTTTAAATAATTATCTAAAAGTAAAAACATGCATAGATTCATTATACTCATGCCTCTCCCTAATGAGCAGTGATGTATAAGATACCTTGTACAAAGTATCTGAAATACTAGATGCAAGATACTTTTAAAAAAAGGATTTCAGATACCAGATACAAACACTTTTCTAAAAAGGTATTTGAAATACTAGATACAAAATACCTATCTTTAAAATACTTTTTAAAGATAAAATACTTTTGTAAGAAAACAGCATTTAATAAATTTTAATTGAATGTAAGTTTATTCGTTTTATTTGAAAACAGTTCTCGGATAGACCGCGTTGATATCAAGGATCAGGCAAATGTGACAAGACAAAATATGTTGGTAAGTTCGCGATCCCGAATCTCACAAAGGCGATATTGTTATTTATTAATTACAATATTTTATTTTAAACACCATACACCACGTCCACGTACACACGAAAAACCTCAGCGAAAAACTTACGGAAGGAGTGACAGTGACACTAGTGACAGATCACACTCATTGACAATCTTTTTTTTTGTATTAAGTACCTATTTGTTTAAATTTTAATTTTGGAATTGACGATCTTACTTACTTAACCGAAGATAGTTTCGCCATCTGTCATTTAGTTTCCGATCCGTAAAAATATGGTATCGAAATAAACGACGCGCTGCGTTCAGTTGCGTTCGGAAAGAAAAACTGCGAAGTTTATTTTAGTAAAAGTATCTTAGTGAACAAAGTATCTTCAAAATACTAAGATACCTGGAAAATGTATCTAAATATAAGATACAAAATATAAAAATTAAAAAGTATTTCAAATACAAGATATAAATACGTATTTTGTATCTTGTATCTGTATTTCAGATACTTTTATCTAAGATAAGTCACATCACTACTAATGAGCATTTCATTGCACTAAAAGATTCCATTTTTAGCATTTTCTTCTTACAGCTTATGTTTGTGTTAACACAGGCAACACAAGGAACTCTGTAGAGGTCGAAAATTGGCGGGCATCTTCTGATTCGAGAGCAGAAAGTGCGAGAAACACAACTCAAAGGCCAAATAAACATAACTAAATACTTGTTTCACTGACAAGTTCTTAGGCATAATGAGTATAATGACCAAATGTATGTACCTGTACCTATATACGAGTAAACAAAATAATATAAGTCTTGCGATATACACATACAAAGGACTAACCAAGGTCTTACTAGGACCACCTAGATTCAGATTCTCTTTGATGTTCTTGTGTTAAGTTAGCGCAAATAATACTTAGATTTATAATCATATTGTAATTTAAGGGCTGTAGTTTATATTATTATTGTTGACTTTAAAAAAAAAAATTTATAATGTTGAGAGGAGAGTCGAAAGTGTAACGGAGTAATTTTATAGCCAGTTCCATCCGCCAGTTGGTTTAAAATTACGCTGTGTAATAGTTATTAAGTTAAAGCTTTTTTTCCTTTTATTACGATTGTTTTCATTCTTATGATTATGTATCTACCTATGTAAAGTTTTTTTTTCAATAAAGGCTACTGTTATCTACAATGATTGGTTTCATTGACGCTGCAAAATTTTCAAAATATTCTGCCTATGGAGTAAATAACAAAAAGTGTGTAAAAATTAAATACAAAAGAGAATATTTTTTATCAAGTTTATTTTCATTGACAAAACTAGTGTTTAGTGATCAGTGACAGTGAATAGAGTAAGTGCGAGCACAGTCAGTATAATGTGGGCACCGAAATATTGCAACATTTAAAACTAAATAAAATACTTAACATTATTATTGTATGTACCTACCAATTATTAATTTTTAAAAGTATAATATTCCGTACACAGTCATTAAGATTTTTTTAAATGGTGTTCGCGCCAATATCGCTGACCATAGAATAAACATAAACAAAATAAAATGGCCGGCTGTGCCCGCTTTTACACAAATACATTGAATTTTATTAATACACAATTACTGTCAATTACATAACATAACATCACGCCTTTTATCCCGGAGGGGTAGGCAGAGGTGCACATTACCTGTAATTGTACAATGACATACCTACAGTGTAACACCCACTTTTCACTATTCATGTTACGAGTCCCATGTAATAGGGGGCGAGTCTATTGCCATATACCGGGCACAATTCCAGACTCCGTGCTACTACTGAGATTTTTTTTAAAAACCCAGTAGGTAATACTTTGCCCTTTGCCGTAGACAGATAGATAAATACACTTGAATAACATGTAACATTCAAAGCTTACTACGACAACGTTTTCCAATAATACATAATATGTAGTTATTAATAATACGCTTTTATGTTAGGGGCATGTATGTTAAAGTAAACCATTTTCTTTCCGCCAGTTACAGTCGAGTTAGTTAGTTCATAATATGTTGGCTAATGAAGCGGGATCTGACGGGGAGGTTTATACTTGTGCTCCGTGGCATACTGAAATTCTGCCTTTATTAAGAGAAAGTAGCACTAAAGTATGGTCGAATACTTCGACAAAACGTCACTTACTAGAGGCCTTTGGTATAAAACAATATAACCGACGCTTCATCGTGCTCTCTCTGTTTCGGTGAAGGCGGGATGAGTAGACAAAAAATCGTCACGGCTGTAAGGCTCCGATCTGGACATAACTATGCCTCTAAATAGTTTCGGATTCATGGTGCATAAAGTCGAATCACCCAATTGTGATGTGTGTGATGTTGTAGAGGATATGCATTTTGTATGAGTGTCGACGTATTGAGTCTCAGAGGTATCAGGTCTTTAGTTTTAAGAGCTTTAATATTGGTTTTTATCAGTGTTTTAGCGTCACCATTGTCATCTAAGGCTAGAAAATTTCATCATTTAATTACTTTATGTTTAAGCTTAAGGGCTAGTTAAATCTATAATCAGTTTAGCTGCTTTATTTTTGGTACTGAATTTCGTATCCTGTAATAGGGCTAATCGCCCTGAAGACACGGTGGAACACACTGTAGCGGAATGCCCTGCGTGGGCTGAGCAGTGCCCTCAGGGAAGTGATCGGCGATGGCGACCTCTCGCGTTCGGGCCTAGTGCAGGCGCAGCGAGGGGGTCTGAGATGCCATCTCCTCCTTTTTTTTTTTATTTAATTTATTTAGGGTTTTTGGTTAAAATTAACATATCAAACCCATTGTTCCTTATAACTATTAACGCATAGTACTTATCCTAGTTGTTTATAAATAATTATGAGGGTCGGTGCTGGGTCTGCGGTACTACCATCTCCTCCTTCTGCGAAGCAGTAATGCTAGCTAAGGAGGAGGCGGGACGCGTGAGGCAGCGAATAGCTGCCTCCTCGCAACCCAGCCATCGCGAAGGACACACCGGGCGTCGGCACCGTAAGCGCGAGCCTGCGGACGGCGAGCATAGGTCCCCGTCCGACCAGAAACAGACCCGAGCATACGGCGCGTCGCGTTCCGCGCGCGTCTCAAAGAGCCATCAGACCACCACAGATTGGGCCCAACAGGGCCGATGCCGATTCAGAGTCGCGGAGAACCTAACCGGTTACCGGGGCTCCGCCTCGACGTGCAGGAGAAGGAACGGAGTGGTTTTTAGTTAGTAAAAGTCTGACACTCCCTCCCACCTCACCCAGGCGAGAGCAGTCAATCAAAGATTTTCCCCCCTTAAAAAAAATAATAGGGCTGACATTTTCCTATAAGGAAAATAGCCCTTCTTATTAAGTATAATAATTAATAATTAAAATAATAAGCCTTTTATTCAGATCTTAAATGTTTACAATAAATTTATATCTAAAACTACAAATAACTAATCTTGCACTGAAACTACTTAAACTAATATCTGTTCCTTGGTTACTATTTCAAGATCTGTTTGCCAGTGCCCAAAGGCCTCCTCCAATCTTTTCCATTCTGTTCTTTCTAGAGCCACTCGGTTCCACATTAGTCCTGCCACTTGTCTTATATCATCATCCCATCTTTTCTGCGGTCTGCCTCTCTTCCTTTTGCCTTCTCTGGGGTACCACTGTGTCACTCTTTTACTCCATTTGTCGTTACCTCGTATCACGTGTCCAGCCCATCTCCACTTAAGTCTTTTGACTTTGATTGTTACATCTGTAGTTTTTGTTCTACTTCTAATAATGCAGTTTTTCAATCTGTCAGACTTTTTAACGTTCAGCATACTCCTTTCCATTGAGTGCTGACAAGTTGCCAGTTTGTGCAATGTTTCCTGGTTTAGAGTCCATGATTGGCAGCCGTATGTAAGAACGGGTAGCACGCAGGTGTTAAACAGTTTACTTTTAATATTAATATGAAGTGTTTTGTCTTTCATAGCCTCTCTTAAGCTCCAGTATCTCTTCCATCCGCTTGTAATTCTTCTCTCTACTTCTTTTTGCATGGGTTCTTTTTGGCTTATCAGCTGTCCCAGATAGACGTACTCATCAGTGTAGTCAATTTCGGTGTTTCCTAATTTTATAGTGTGGTTCGTTCCGTTCGTCATCACTCTGGTCTTTTCCGGGTTCAGTTTCAATCCAACTTTTTCGCTTTCTGATGCAAGTTCTTTTATCATTATATTCAAGTCTTCTGCTGATTTAGCCAGTAGCACTACATCATCAGCGAATCTCAAATGTGACATTAATACGCCATCGATATTTAATCCAAAATGTTCCCAATTTAGTCTTCTGAAGATTGATTCAAGCACTGCAGAGAATAGCTTCGGAGATAGTGGATCTCCCTGCCTTACGCCTTTTTCCACATTGAAAGAGTTACTTTTCTTTTCTAACTGGATTCTTGCTGTGCTGTGGCTGTATATATTTTTAATTAGTCGAATATATTTCTGTTCGATTCCTTGTTCCAGTAGTGCCTCCCATATTTTTTCATGTGTTAGAGAATCGAATGCTTTACTGTAATCTATAAATGCGATGTAGTATGTCAGCTGGTATTCGTTATATTTCTCTATAACTTGACGCACAACATGGATGTGATCGATAA